GCGATGATTCAAAAACATGAAAACCCATTATAAACGAGACATTCGTTGCATCCAGTGGGGACATAATTATGAATTATAATGACTTATACTGTATTTTTACACATTGCGTTGCGTAGAGCATTGCGTTGCTTTTGGAAGGCCAAACAAAGTAGTTTCTCTTTCACAATGAAACACACAGCGTCACACACGGTGGGCTTGAGTGAGCGGAGGCCGGCGGGCTTGCGGCGACCACATGTGACGACCCCGGGCTGGACTCCGCTTCATCCACGGTGAAAGCCCATCCTGCGATCCACAGAGCAAAGTTGTAGTATTTCCTCAGCAACCAGCACGGATCAGCTCCAGGCATGACGAAGCAGATATCGTCCTCTTTTGGAAGGCGAAACAAAGCAGTTTCGCTTTCACAATGAATCAGACAGTGCCTTCACGACATGGCGGCGGCAACAATAATACTACAGCGAGAATAAAAAAAATTCTGCCTTCTTTCTTTTCGTGAACATTTGGGCGGCGTTATGCAAATCTTCCCACATAGTGATGTAGACATGTGGGGGCATGTTAGAATGAGCCGTTTTAGGTAGGCGTGGCTGACTCTTAACTTTTATAAAGAATATCTCTTTGGATTTGAGACTTTAGTCTTTGCAACTTTACAGATCTTCTTTATGCACCAAGAGCTTGTAACACTCCAAAGAGAAAGGAAAAATTGAAATCGCATCATATGACCCCTTTAAGAACCTTCTGTCATCTGACTGACAGTTTATACCTTTTTAGCAAGCCAAAAGCCTTTTAGTTTTAATTCTAGAAACGTCCTCCTTCAGGTTTCTTTTTGCTGTGAAATATTTACTGTTTTTTTAAAAAGTAAACGTAGAAATAACTTTTATATTGTTAATAATATTTCAAGACTTAGTGGACTGAAGCAACTTAGGCTCACTTAACCATCCATGCATCATTTTTTAGAAAATAAAATTTTTATAATTAGAGTATCAATGCAAGTTTATGATACATCGGGCTTTTGAGGAACATTTATTTGTACATCTCTCAATCCTCATTGCATTTCATTACGTCTTGCCCACCACAATGAAAATTACAGAGCTGTGATCATAAAACTAAGCATTAAAATATAATTTTACCAAGACATATTATTGGTAAATATAGAGTTGCAACTGATTACATTTTTTTCATATCTCCTGTTTTTAAACAAACATGTGCAGTGTGAATGGACCCTTAATATGCGTTCGTATAGGATGCATTCTTGCATTAAAAATTGCCCTCAAAATATGTTTATTTAATTGAACCAGCATCTCTAAAATGCTTAAATAGTATAAAGGATATTCAACAAATCCAAAAATATTGTATATTGTTGTTGTTGTTGATGGTGGTGGTTAATTTGTTATAAAAGCTCAGCTTTGATGGTTACAGCAGCAGTGCTTTGAAGGGGACAGATTTAAAGAGCTAACATTTCTGAAAAAGTTTAAACGTGCTGACAGTCTCACAGCACGTTGTCAGCACACTAAAAACTAAAAAATGATTTCCTTTTAAAGCAAAAATTAAAATAAAAGCAACTAGTTGTCCACTCTGACTCATCCCTTGTTGCAATAGTGCAAACGACAAAGAAAAACAGAAAAGAAAAAAAAAAAACCTTCGAAAGTTTTTAGCACTATGTTCTCGACTCATCTATCACAGACAAAAGTGCCCGGGCGAAACCCCGCTGGCCACCTGACATTCTTCTCCCTTCCTCCCATGACACGAGGACTAAATAAAAACAACATCCAGTCAGCGCACTGCTTCATGACGAAGCAGATATCGTCCTCTTTTGGAAGGCGAAACAAAGCAGTTTCGCTTTCACAATGAATCAGACAGTGCCTTCACGACATGGCGGCGGCAACAATAATACTACAGCGAGAATAAAAAAAATTCTGCCTTCTTTCTTTTCGTGAACATTTGGGCGGCGTTATGCAAATCTTCCCACATAGTGATGTAGACATGTGGGGGCATGTTAGAATGAGCCGTTTTAGGTAGGCGTGGCTGACTCTTAACTTTTATAAAGAATATCTCTTTGGATTTGAGACTTTAGTCTTTGCAACTTTACAGATCTTCTTTATGCACCAAGAGCTTGTAACACTCCAAAGAGAAAGGAAATATTGAAATCGCATCATATGACCCCTTTAATAATGTAATATTACAAGTTTTACTTTAAAGTACACTTAAAATCTTGGTTTTAATAATCCTTTGTTATGCTTTAAAGAAGTATGCTTTGTTTGATATGTTGACTAACATACTAAAGCACTTGTAAATATACTAAATTAGATTTTCATCATTACAAATGTGTCATTACAAATATAATTAATGTATGGCAAGTTTCAATAGAAATTACAATAAAGTATATTTTAGTTTACCATAAATACTTGTCAGTAAATTTGATGGTACACTTTATCCATATTTTCACTGTTGTGTGAGTTAAAGGTTTGACATATTGCAAAAGTTGTATTGGACTGAAATGCTAATATTAAAATATTTACCCATTTTTTATTCTATCAATAATAACATTGTTTCATTGATTCAAGCAACATGCTAGATGATGAGTTGGCACTGGTAGAAAACCTTTTTAGCTCCCGTGAGCTCCTTTATGAAAACATGACTGTGTTTATGATTACTACTATATAGCGATTTTCAAAGTGAAGTTGAATGCATAATATTGGCTGTAAAATATGTTTTGTTGATATAGGAGTGGCATGTTTTGATATTTTGTATAGGGTAATTTGGCTGTTTTGGGGCTAATTCTGATTTGCAATTTGCAGACCTAGAAACCCTGTCATATAAACTTAGCAACAACAAAAAAGGTCCCTTTTTCAGGATTCTGTATTTTAAAGTAGTTTTGTAAAATCCAAACAGGCTACAGATCTTATAGAGAAAGTATTTTAAAAGTTTATGTTGTTTATGCTTGTTCAATTAACCATAAACAATTATTGCATATACACATGTGAAACAGTCCTTAAGACAACAGTTTACTGTAGCCAATTGAAGTTACAGTTACTTAGGACAGTGAAGAGACCTTTCTACTGACTCTGAAAAACACCAGAATAAAGATGCCCAGAGTCCCTGCTCAGCTGAGTAAACATGCTATAGTCCTGCTGCAGGGAGGCATGAGGTCTGCATATGTGGCCAGAGCAATAAACTGCAATGTCCGTAATGTAAGGCACCTAAGATGGTGCTACAGAGAGACAGGAAGAAATACAGCTGATTGTCCTTGCTGTGGCAAACCACGTATTCCCCCAGAAATGTCTGGGAACTTGCAAGTGCCTTGGTGGAAGGGTGAGGTAACATCTCACAGAAAGAACTGGAAAATCAGGATGGGTGGGGGGTGATGTCCTGTTCTAAATCCATGGTGATGAGGAATGGCTCATTTTCATAATGTAACCAACCTGTCTGTATCTGTTCGTCTTTCTCTCAGCCCATTCATTTGGCTCAGATCTCATTCCTGGTGACGGCTTTTGGAATCCCATTTGTTCTAGACCTGGAGCTCAATCAGTATGTTCAAAATCCCACTCACTGTAAACTGTAGGATTTAATTGGAAACAATTCTCACTCAGAAATGGCTAGCGAATTTCACAAATAATTACAAGTAACACATTGAATTAAACATTACATTTTAAAGTATAAAGAATGAAATTGTATTTTCTTGTAAAACAATAATCTGTTTTTTTAATTACGATTTCTAAAAATAATTTTAACAGTGCACTAGCAGAAACACAAATGCTCTCATTCCCTCTAAGTAGGGCTCTCTATATTATTGTATTAGTCCCTCTATTTTAATTACGTGTATGTGTGTGTCTGCAGTGATCTTTTGTCGTCTAGCTATGTTGAGCGCCACTTCGATGAGGATGGGCGACCTTTTCAAAGTCTGGTAAGGAAATAATATAACTTTTTCTATTTGTATCCCTTTATATTGATTTTGTTAGAGATTAATGTCATAATGAACAAACATGTTTATTAATATTAGATCCCCTGTTACAAATAATATCTTAACTGTAGTAATATAACCAGGATTATGTACCATAATTCCATGGTAATATGGCTTTATCAGTTTTTGTTAGGGATACATATCATAATGATTTTTGAATAATATAATAAGACATGTAATTAACTAACTCCTTAATAGCTGTAGTTCACTGCCAGTCTTAATGTAAACTTCTGAGGTATCATATGTGGGTCTGGGAATATACCCACTACCTTTTTTAGCACACGACTTTGATGCAGTGAGGCAAAGGAGCCTGGGAAAGCATCCGCCCCTCCTGTTCAGTGTCAGCTGCGTTTGACCAATCGCAACGTTGTTGCTATGACAACTGCTTATAGACAGTTCTAGTCCACTTTGCCCAACTGAGTCAGAGAGAGAGAGAGAGAGAGAGAGAGAGAGAGAGAGAAAGAGGGACACACACACACACACACACACACTCACAGGAAGAATGAAGCATTGAGTGGAGAAGCTGAAGTCATTAAGCAACTACACTGCAGCAGAGACACAGAAACCAGGACTGCAGTGCAGAAAACTACAGCTAGACTGGTAGAATGAATCCCAGAAACATTTGAAAATATACCTCAGATACACCAATCACATCACTGACATGAACGTCTCCCATGCGTTCAAGTGTGTGGGCACGTGCTTACAGACCCCACGGCTCTTAAATTTGTTTTGTGCTGCGGATATGATGAATGATTCCTCAAATCCTGTGTCTTGTCGAGAAGATGTTGCTGTTATTAAGTGATCAGATGCAACATTTTCACCATAAAGCAATAGAGACCAAAATATCAGATTTGAGGGGGGACTCGTTTCACACCAGACAGGAAGAAAGGCATGCTAAAAGCGTTTGATGGACATTGGAAAAGTGAACCTGATGAATTTTAATGGGGGATGTTGCCGTGGTTACTGTCATATTCGAGGGCTGTTCACTGTGTAATCGTTATTCTTTGATGCAGTGTGTGATTGTTTGATGTGTGTGAGATTTCAGGGAGGAGAGCACTGTTACTATCACGGTCATGTGAGAGGAGTTCAGAGGTCATGGGCAGCTCTCTCCACCTGTCACGGCCTACAGTAAGTAGTAACCCTTTATCTGCTTCAACAGTGCAAAGAGCAAACACACTCCATTATCTATTGTTTTCAGCAATTGCACTTTGGTGACATCCTTACCAAAATGTCTGTTTGGATATTTTTGGAAACTTAAACACTATGCACTTGTAGGGTAAGATGGAGGAAGATGCCCCCCTTAAGAACAATGTGCATTTACTTTTGAATTGTAGTATGTTTAGATGTAAGTAACCATTGCTAAATTGGTTCCCATATCAGAAAATATTAAATTATTAAAAGAGGACATCTTACCCCCCACTACCGGGGAAAGAAGCCCCCCAAAAGCTAAACTTTTACAGAATGTATAAATAACTTTTGGTGTCATTTTTAGTAATATTTACAGCCTCTTAAAGAAGAAGTTACAGGTCTGTGAGAGCCAGAAATCTTGCTTGTTTGTAGGTGACCAAATACTTATTTTAGCGAGGAATTTACCAATTAATTCTTTAAAAATCCTACAATGTGATTTTCTGTAATTTTTTTTCTCATTTTGTCTCTAATAGTTGAGGTATACCTATGATGAAAATTACAGGCCTCTCTCATCTTTTTAAGTGGGAGAACTTGCACAATTGGTGGCTGACTAAATACTTTTTTGCCCCACTGTATATATATATATATATATGTCTTTAATGTAAAATATTAAATCAACTATTCTATGTCTAATTGTTATGACAATTTAGTTTAATAATTGAATTACTGATGACAGACAAAGCAGAATTCCAGTAAAAGGGATTCATATGAAAGATACATTAAGTCTATGACTTATATACAGGCATATAAAGATATTTACATAATTGCCCTTATATTTTAATTGAAATTTGAACTCAAATTGAATTATTTCAATCAATTAACCTATAGATTTTAATTAAAAGTGAAGATTTAAATTAAAAGATAATGACACTAGTAACAACATGCCACTTCTATGCCAATTCAAAATAAAAACTATACAACAAAAATAATTAATAATTAAAAACGTTGATATTCAACATAATGCAATATCATAAATCACACTTTTCCAGAGATACAAAATTAGATAAATTAACTTATATTTACTGACTAAATCTCACAAATGTATTTATTTAGATGAAATTACACAATTAAAAATGGCATAGGCTTTCATTAAAAGTGTTGTGATTTTTGTACTGTCTATGGTCAAGTAAATCTGAAGTCTATGGTCATCTTACCATGTCTTACCGTACTATGCACTATGTACTCCAACATCTAGTGTCTGAATTTTGGAAAGTTTGGAAGGTCATTGGAGTCTGATAGCCCCTCTCTTTCCACTAGAAAAGAAAACTGAGACAGTGCTTTAAGTGCCAACATTCCACACTTGTTTTTTTGATTAAAAAGTGCATCATCTGTGTATTCAAAGTGCACTTTTTCTTTTTGAAGTGTTCACATTATTTATACTACAAAACTACATGGAATAGTGGGTAACGTGTAATAAGTATACACTAATAAATTACAAATCCTTAACAAACTATTAGTTTATTGTTAATTCATAGTTTATACACTGTAGTTAATACGTTAATAGACTCTATCAAAATAGTGAGTTATTCATTCATTGTCACTGGAATTAACACAATTATTATTGTTTAATTAGCTCTTAGTAAAGTAATGGTTAATTGTTAATAAGAAGTCAGTAATTAAGTGTTTTAAAGCAACCTTTATTGAACATTAATTGCATTCATATTCACTGTCCCTTAGAATGTTTACAAATACATTAAGGACACACACATTTGCATATGTGGTTTACAGTGACTCTTCATAGGCTTAATGTTTTTTTATACTGTACAAACTGTATATTCTATCCCCTTAACCTAACCCTACCCCCAAAACCTACCCCTCACACAAAATCTCTCTCTCTCTTTCTCTCTCTCTAGTTTTCTGTGATGGGTATGTTTAGTATGGGGGTAGAATTGTTGCATTATTCCAGATTCCACCCACCGTCTACTCAAGCCAATCAGATAACAGCCACACTTCGCTGACCAATCGTAGCACGTTCTCGCTATTACCAATCACGTTTTGTTTTACAATCAGGGCGGGGGCAGATTCATTTTGCACCCCTGTAAGGAACTGCATTCTATGGACACTTCATTCAAATTGAGCTGAAGTGATGTTTGTGTGGTTAAAAAAAACCTGTTTCCAAAAGATTGTTGGAGTGTAAGGCTTATTTATATTTCCACCAGGATCAGTGAATGAGGATAAACTCAGGATTATATGATCATTCACAGATCCCGAACATCATCAGTAATACCCTCGCGAAATAGAAATCTACTGCGATGCTGTCTACTCTGGACGAGGTGCGACACAATGAAGGACAAATGATTTGCACATTTGCTTTGATGCGTCCAGTTGCAGTTTCAGCTGTTGCAGTGCATCGCAACAGTGAGCAGAGACACGCTGTAAGACATGGCATGGGTTATTTAGCCTTTTTAAAGCACAACGCGGTAACAAATATAGGGCATAATAACGCGTATAATATTAATTATGGGCCAAAATTACCATCTGGGTACCTGTCTCAGCATCACTGCAGCATGTAGTACTGGAGTTTTGCAAGTGGACAATGTAAATAAAAACCTACTTTGGATGATGTTAAAGGGGTCATATGATGCTGCTAAAAAGAACTTTGTTTTGTGTATTTGGTGTAATGAAATGTGTTTATGCGGTTTAAAGTAAAAAAACACATTATTTTCCACATACTGTACATTATTGTTTCTCCTCTATGCCCCGCCTTTTTAAAACGCATCGATTTTTACAAAGCTCATCGGTCTGAAAAAGCGAGGTGTGCTGTGATTGGCCAGCTATCCAGTGCATTGTGATTGGCCGAATACCTCAAGCGTGTGACGGAAATGTTATGCCCCTCACCATACTGTTGATGCCGTGGCCCGACTGGAGCGAAGATACAAAAACATTCAAATCCATTACAAACGAGGCATTTGTTGCATCCAGTGGGGACATAATTACTGATTATAATGACTTACTGGCATACTGTCTTTTTACGCGTTGCGTTGCATTGCATCGCGCCGCGTAAACATAAACCCTGTCTGCATTTGTGATCAGAGAAATGACAAACAACAAGTGCTACTCTACTGCCCAAAACTCGCGTTTGAATCATCAGTGGCAAATCCTTTAAATGAAAACGTACTTGCAGACTGAGTCAGAACTGCCGGCATTGTAGTCTACTCTTCCGGGATCAGTAAAACAGTCCTCCATAAAAAGTGCTGCGCACATCTGGATATTTGGGTTAAACTGTTCTGGAACAGTGTTGTAAATACAACTTAACCACTGATTTGTAGTCGTGTCCTCGTTTGGAAGACCAAACAAAGTAGTTTCACTTTCACAACGAAAAACACAGCGGCCTAGCGTGAGCGGAAGCCCCGGCTTAGCGTGAGCTGAGGCCGGGCTAGAGTTAGCAGAGATGGCGGGGTCGAGAACGACACGCCCGGCGGATCCGACAAAGGAGCGGCAACCACATGTGACGACCTCGGCTGGACTCCGCTTCGTCCACGGTGAAAGCCGATCCGGCGATCCACAGCACTAAGTTGATGTATTCCCTCAGCAACCAGCACAGATCAGCTCTAGGCATGATGAAGCGGATATCGTCCTCTTTTGGAAGACCAAAGTAGTTTCGCTTTCACAACGAAGCACACAGAGTCTTCACGAAATGGCGGCAGCGGCAACAATACTACAGTGAGAATAAAAGTTATGCCTTCTTTCTTTGCGTGAACATTTGGGCGGCGTTATGTAAATCTTCCCACATAGTGAGGTAGATATGTGGGGGTGTGTTAGAACGAGCCGTTTTAGGTAGGCGTGGCTGACTCTTAACTTTTATAAAGAATATCTCTTTGGATTTGAGACTTTAGTCTTTGCAACTTTACAGATCTTCTTTATGCACCAAGAGCTTGTAACACTCCAAAGAGAAAGGACAAATTGAAATCGCATCATATGACCCCTTTAAGTAACTTTTACAAACAAAACTAGTAAGACTGATTCATATGAAATATTTTTTTGCGTGATCAAGTGTTTTAACCAATAAATATCTCTTGTCTTACATTTATATCCATTTATTTTCAACACACCTGCACCACATTTAAAAAAATAACCCACTTATATTTTTCCTCCCCAAACAATGGCAATAACTTTGTAATACTTTTAATTAATGTTTGAAAATATTTATAATGCTATATACATCATTAGTGTAACGTGGGGTTTGGGTTTTGTTTCTTGTTCATTGTTTTCATGTCTTTTATTTTGTAGTTTGGCCACTGTCATGTTCTGTCAAGTGAGTCCCTTGTCTGTGTGTTATGTTCTGATTGGTTCCTTGGTTCATGTGTCATGTTACCCTCATTGTTTGATATAAATAGCCCTCATGTTGCCTTTGTTCTTTGTCTATCTTTGATGTTGTATCTCTGCTGTCGGTGAATCTGTTTATGCCAAGTCAAGTCTGTTCATGCTAAGTCAAGTCTGTTCAAGTCAAGTCAAGTCTTTTGGATTATTTTTTGTCTTTGTGTAAATAAACTGCACTTAGGTTCTCACTTCAACTCGCCTTCAGTGGACCATTCATTATTTTACAGAAAGCTAGACCAACCATGAACCCAGCAGTTGCCCTCCTTGGACTATGTCAAGGTAACCGATCCATAGAGGATTATGTTGAGGAATTGTGTTACCAGGTGGACTTTAATGACATCGCCCTCAAAGACATTTTTGGTATGGATTAACTATGAATTTACTGCGGGGATTGCGGATGAGGAACCCTGCTATTCCCCAGTATTTCCTGCACCAGAGCATTTTCATGTCCCAACTGTCATGTCTGGAGTTGCTCACGTCATGCCTGCAGCTCCAGGGCCTGCTAACGTCATGCCTGCTCACATCAGGAGCGGCAACCACATGTGACGACCCCGGCTGGACTCCGCTTCGTCCACGGTGAAAGCCGATCCGGCGATCCACAGCACTAAGTTGATGTATTCCCTCAGCAACCAGCACAGATCAGTTCTAGGCATGATGAAGCGGATATCGTCCTCTTTTGGAAGACCAAAGTAGTTTCGCTTTCACAACGAAGCACACAGAGTCTTCACGAAATGGCGGCAGCGGCAACAATACTACAGTGAGAATAAAAGTTATGCCTTCTTTCTTTGCGTGAACATTTGGGCGGCGTTATGCAAATCTTCCCACATAGTGAGGTAGATATGTGGGGGTGTGTTAGAACGAGCCGTTTTAGGTAGGCGTGGCTGACTCTTAACTTTTATAAAGAATATAAAAGCTAGACCAGCTCCAGGGCCTGCTAACGTCATGCCTGCTCACATCATGTCTGCTGCTCCAGGGCCTGCTAACATCATGTCTGCTACTCCAGAGCCTGCTCACATCATGCCTGCTGCTCCAGGGCCAGCTCACGTCATGCCTGCCAAACCAAAGCCAGCTACTCCAGGGCCTGCTAATGTCATGTCTGCTGCTCCAGGGCCTGCTCACATCACGTCTGCTATGCCAAAGCCTGCTCTCGTCATGCCGGCCGGCCACTCAAGAGCCTCGTTACAAGATGGCCGCAAACCCAGAGTCTCCTCGCAAGATGGCCGCCACGCCTGAGTCCCTGGCCAAGATGGCCACCACGCCTGAGTCCCCGGCCAAGATGGCCACCACGCCTGAGTCCCCGGCCAAGATGGCCACCACGCCTGAGTCCCCGGCCAAGATAGCCGCCATGCCAGAGTCTTGTCATGCCACAGATATCATGCAAGTTTTGCCTAAGGATTTTTTTGGGGGGGGGCTATAGTACCCAAGGTCCTGCGGATGCGAAGCTTGGGCCAGGACTGAAAGGACCGATTGCCAGTGTGATGGACCCGCCTCCAGGAGAGGCCTCTCCTGTCCACGAGTCTGCTCCAGAGGCCTCTCCTGTCCACGAGTCTTCTCCAGAGGCCTCTCCTGTCCACGAGTCTTCTCCAGAGGCTGCTCCAGAGGCCTCTCCTGTCCACGAGTCTTCTCCAGAGGCCTCTCCTGTCCACGAGTCTGCTCCAGAGGCCTCTCCTGTCCACGAGTCTTCTCCAGAGGCCTCTCATTTCCACGAATCCGCTCCAGTGCCTCCAGAGGTGGCGGTGTCCACTGCAGAACCTCCCAAGGCAGTGGCGCCCACTTATGAACTCACAGTCTGCCAGGTCACAGCCTTGGAGGCCATTCACAAACTCACAGACTGTCCTGTCACGGCCAAGTAAGCTATTCAAGAACCCTCTGCCTGCTCTGTGACAGTCAAGTGGTTTATCCATGTCTCTGCTCCACCCTGCCTTCCTGCTCTGCCGGCACCACCCTGCCTTCCTGCTCCACCGGCTCTGACCTGGTGGTCTCCTGGGCCACTGCTTCATAGTCTGCCACTGCTCCATGGCCCAGGCCCTCTACTGTTCCACAGTCTGCCATTGCTCCATGGTCTAGGCCGTCCACTGTTCCACAGTCTGCCACTGCTCCATGCCCCAGGCCCTCCACTGCTTCACTGTCTGCCACTGCTCCATGGCCCAGGTCCTCCAGTGCTACACTGTCTGCCACTGCTCCATGCCCCAGGCCCTCCACTGCTTCACTGTCTGCCACTGCTCCACGGCCCAAGTCCTCCAGTGTTTCACAGTTTTCCATTGTTCCACGGTCCATGTCATGATTTAGGTCCTGTTCCCCTTCACGGGCCTGGCCCTCCATCCCTCCCCCTGTTTCGCCTCCGCTCTACTACCCTCCTGGACTTGGGTTTTGTTTGGTCTGAAGTCTGGTGTCACATATAACATGTGTGGGGTTTGGTTTCTTGTTCATTGTTTTCATGTATTTTATTTTGCAGTTTTGCCACAGTCATGTTCTGTCAAGTGATTCCCTTGTCTGTGTGTTATGTTCTGATTGGTTCCTTGGTTCATGTGTCATGTTCTCATTAGTTGGTTCTTGTCATGTGACCCTCATTGTTTGATATATATAGCCCTCATGCTGCCTCATGCAGCGATCCACAAATGCGTGCAGCGATCTACAAATGTACAGGATGAGATTCACAAATGAATGGCAGGCAAAGTTGTGTTTGTGACATAAAAATGTATTTGTGAATATGTTTTTTATTTGCAAATCTTTTTTATTTATTTGTGAATTTAATTAATGTTTGTGAAACTCTGAGATTTATTTGTGGATCTCATTCTATTTATTTGTCAATATGTTTAATTTTTTGTAAATCTCTTTACATTTATTTGTGGATCATCATCTATTTATTTGGAATAATGCAACAATTCTACCCCCATAGTTTAGGGGTAGGGTCAAGGGACAGTATGTACAGTTTGTACAGTGTAAAAATTGTCAGTGCTCAGACCATACGCCGCACACTGCATCAAATTGGTCTGCATGGCTGTCGTCCCAGAAGGAAGCCTCTTCTAAAGATGATGCACAAGAAAGCCCGCAAACAGTTTGCTGAAGACAAGCAGACTAAGGACATGGATTACTGGAACCATGTCCTGTGGTCTGATGAGACCAAGATAAACTTATTTGGTATATATATTTATATAAATTGAGAACTATTTATGGTTAATAAGTTGTTAACAAACCATTATCTAACTCCTTACATATGTGCTAATTAAACAATAATAATTTGGTTAATTACAGTGACAATAAATGAAGAACTCACTATTTGTAGTCTATTAATGTATTAACTACAGTTAATACATTACTGAACTATGAATTAACTATAAACTAATAGTTTGCAAATGATTTGTAAGTACTTTTTTAGTGTATACTTATTATAAAGTGTTACCGAATAGTGCATACATATGCATTTAACTAACTAATAATAAGCAATACATTTGTTACAGTATTTATTCATCTTTGTTAATGTTAGTTAACATTACTGTTCATTGTTGGTTCATGTTAGCTCAGATTTTTTAAATAGTATTAACAGATACAACTTTTGATATTAATAATTTATGATCTTGAAATGCTGAAATTAAAATTAACTGAAATTAATAAATGTTAGTTAGTTCATGTTAATTAATGGAGTTAAGTAATGTTAACTAATGGAACCTTTTTGTAAAGTGTTACCTAATAAATTCCTATCAAGTCTGCATTTTTTCAGCTGTATTAGGGTTGTTGTCATTGGAGTGTTTCACATTTGTGATGTTGGTGTGTCTACAGAGGGATGTTCTCAGATGGCAACTTTTCATATGGCATTGAGCCCTTGCACAACAGCAGTGATCAGGTCAGTATGCAGCTGAAATATTCATCTCTCTCAACTTTCTCTTGAGGGGAATTGTCACTCTATCTGCCTGTTGCAGTCTGGAAAAAATCACGAACAGATATACAATCCTGCCCAATGAGACACAGAAGAGACAGCGAAGCACTGAATATTAGCCAAATGCACAGAAATATCCATTACTGTGGTTGAATGACAGGTGAATCAGCAGACGTCTGTATGTGGGAAGGAGGTGAAGAGCAGAAGGAGGGATGTCAAGTGAGAAAATATGAGACAGAGCAGCTTATGCATGATATTAGACAAGCATTGCATTAAAGAATCATATTTCACTTCAATATACAGAGGAAATTTAATATAAAAAGAAGAATGCCTATTTTTAGAACAAGAAATATTATCTGACATTATTTAAAAGACAAGTAATTAATTTGTACCTTTTCATTTAGACATTAAAAATACAAAGAACTTATTTCTCTGTTCATCATAACTAACGAGACTATTCTGGGTTAAATATGGATTAAACTATGTCAATAGCATCTGTGGATTGCGGTTAATTACCAGAGAACATCATTCCATTCATCTCTCTCCTCAACAGTGATGCACTTGCGATGGAAGCCTAAAAGTCACGGCGGGTGGAGGGTGTATGAGCAGAAATGTAACACTTGTATTTTGGTTAAAACACCCTGGTTCAATTTTCGTTTTGTGCTTTCAGTTGTGATGCTGTTTGAATGGTCGTTTTGATGGCAGGGCTACTTTTTCAAGATAGAGGAATAGAGCACTGCAATGATGTATTTTTGTAGGGCAACCTGGAAGTTAGCATCACCCTGGTTCCCTCAACAAAAACCCAATAGGATTTTAACAGTAAATTATTGCAGAAAATAAACTCTGTGACTTACAAGTTTTGTTCATCATGATAATCTTCACAAACACTTACAAATTTTGAAGCATTAATACAGTCAACAGACATAAAAAAAAAAATTAAGTGCAGGCTATAAACAAACTACACCACAGTCACTTGATTTTAGCATCACCATCACGAAGCTTCCGACAACGTTTTGCAGTCTTTATTTTTTCCCAGAAAATTTGAGTTAGGATAGTTAAAAAATCACAAGGGGGTATTATTATGTATTTTAAAATACTGATGTATTTTATGTCATTGATTAAAACATGAAATATTTTCAGCTTGTGTTAACTACAGACCTTATTTCAGACACTTAACCAAAAACCTATTGAAAAAACTCATTGACTATATGACGATGGAACCGGAAGTGTTCAAATGCTAACTTGTTTCTGGGCTTTGGCCTACAAACATTTCTGTGGGAGGAGTTTGTTCCAAGACAAACAGAGCCGCTGCAAAATAACCAAGTTTAAGCATAGCTGAAGATTAATTAATTTGATGTCTTCTATTTGCGTGAATTGAATTACCTTAGAATTACTGTGACGCAACTCGTGGTGCTCTGAGAATAGCATGCCAAAGGTGTTCAGATGATAAACTGCAGAGTTAATTACTTTCCCTTCCATTGATTTCAGTATCTTTTTTTCTGAATTTTTTCCCCGTTTATCCGTATTTGTTATCTGTCTCTTCTTCACTCTCTCTCCACTCCTCTTTCACTTCTCTTAAATGGGTCATTTTCATAAAGTATTCAAAGCCACATGTAAAGTGTCTCTCTCTGTCTGGGTAGATGGGAGATTAATAATGGATAGTTGTGTAATAGCCTTACATGGTGGAACCCAGTTCATCAGCGAGCGTTTCATCTGCAAGGAAACTTTACCCAACAACAGGATACAATTCAGCCAGAAATGAGATTTACAATTACAAATTACAAATACAATATTCATAAAATTTGGTACCAAAATATATGTACCAAATAGCCTTACAGCATGAATTTTCAGCACGACTTCCCCAGGACTAGTAAGGGCGTGGCCTACTTTGCTCTAAAGGCTACAACTCTTGGAGAAAAAAAATGTCTAAGATGTTATTCTGAGTAGGAATGTAAAAATTATTGCTGATCAAACAACAGCTGGTGCTATAAATGTGGAAATATATTTTGCATGACATCTGTCTTCAGTAGGCCTACAGGCTACTTCGAAAAATAAAACAAGTGAAGTAGCAGTCTGTTGGATTTATGGGGGGGGGGGGGGGGGGGGGGTTTTGGGGGGGGGGGGGGGACTACTTATGCACTACTTATGACAAAACAAAACAGCACACATACAATAGTTGGCTAATTTTTAAAGTAAGATATTTTAAAATGTTTGGTGCATGGTTAAAAAATATCTCAGATAATGTAAAATGCTGGTAAATAAAGCTATATGTTAACATTATAAATACAGATAACTATTTTACTATAACTATTTTAGGTAACACTTTAGAATAATGGTCTGTTGTTAACAAGTAACTATGCAGGAAGTAATAGGTAGTACTACATTAACACTTAACTTAATACTATTAACTAATAGAGAAGCAAGATTAACTAAGCAGTAAGTAGTAGCAAATTTAGGACATAGGTAGTTCCTTATTAGATATTTGATAATTACTAAAAAAATATATCCATCATGCAACTACTTGCGAACTATGACCAATTCATAAAGAATAACCAATTAATTACTAATCACAACAGTAACGTCTTAAAAGTTAACAATGGGGTTCTTTGTGGAAACTAATTTTTAAAATTCATTTAAAAATGTTAATAATTAGGAAGTGATTGAATTAGCTCCAACTCCAAAAGACCAATATCTTAGTAGGCTGGGGAGGACTTTTCTTGAATATAAATAATGATGTTCTCTAGTGAAAAACATGTTAACCCCTCAGTAATTACTCACAAGTAAATTAATAAGTTAATTAACATATTTTATATCTGACATACTGTACAGTCATACATTTGTGTGAAGCACTAGTGATATGTTACCAGTAGGTCTTTTGGAGTGGGATACATTGATACACATCTGCTTTGAACTGACACGAAGCAGAGATCATAATTGTGAACTAATTCAATCATGAGCTTGTCAGCATCACTTCTTAATTATTAACATTTTTAAGTGAATTTTCATTTTTATTATTATTCTATGTTTAAGTTTGAACATCCATCCTTTGGTAAGAGTAGTAGTCACAATTTCAACCTGTAGCCGACTTATTTGGGGGATATCATATTCATAAATTAGTTTCCACAAAGAACCCAATTGTTCAATTTTAAGACGTTACTGTTGTGATTAGTAATTAATTGGTTATTCTTTATTAACTGGTCATAGTTCACAAGTAGTTCTCAATGAGGATATATATTTTTTTAGTAATGATCAAATATCTAATAAGGAACTACCTTTGTCCTTAATTTGCTACTACTTACAGATTAGTTAATCTTGCTTCTCTATTAGTTAATAGTATTAAGTTAAGTGTTAATGTAGTACTACCTATTAATTCCTGCATAGTTACTTGTTAAAAACGAACCATTATTCTAAAGTGTTACCCTATTTTATAACTATAAATATAGATAGGCTATACTTTTATAGTTCCTCTCACTCCATAACAAATCCTTTAAATTGAACGGTATTCAGAAAAATAGTATAAGTAGCTAAACATCAAGCCAAAAAAATTTTTTTGCTGAAACTGAAATGGGCGTTGGGCTCACTCTTATGCCGAGTTCACACTGCACGATTTTCAAAGACGTCGCATCACTGTTGGTTTCACACTGAACGGCTATCTGGGGTAGCATTCAGTTGTTGCTGTGTTCACACTGCACGATGGAACGACGACAGGAGGTTACACACTGCATGACTTTACAATAGGAAGAATCGCCGACAGCTCTGTCTGGTGCAGGGTTGCCAGGTTTTCGCTACAAAACCCGCCCAATTACTACTCAAAACTAGCCTGAAAATAGCCCAATTGCTTTCGAGGGGGTCCCCCAGTAAAAATTGCATTCGGGGGTAAAATACAAATTTTTTGGGCGGGATTCTGCTGGTACAATTCACATTCCAGGGCCTAAATATCATGTTATTGGGGTCGCTTCAACCTGCTGACATAAAAAACAATTGGCAACACTGGTCCGCAAACTACGTTTCATAAAACTCCTCCCCGAACTTCCCGCTGCCCTGTATCTTGGTCTCTCATTGGCTGAAGGTCATCGCCGATGTGTTTTTCAGTCAGAACTCATTTCACACAGCGTGACTGTGAATCGCCGACGGCTCCAGATATTTAGCATGCCAAATATTTCATGGGCATCGGCGATGCGTCGGCGATTCCCTCAGATCGCGTCTTTGATAATTTACACTGCGTGTGCGTGTGTGAACTCGGCATTACTCGGCACGAATCCACTCAACAATTTCCATCATGACATATTTGGACGCTAAACTATTATTTATTATGTTTTGAACCTTATTTATTTTGGTAATGAACAGGCTGCAATGTCAAGTATACTAGAACTGATATGTTGTGTGTGTGTGTGCGTGTGCGCACGCGCACGTGAGGCGCCTGCGCAATCACTTGAATTTGTTCCTTATTACAGCAGAAACGAAGAGTGAGACATCATGTGAAACTATAAAGGGTCTACTTTTATTTGTGTACAGTCACAATAACAACAAAACACCATGCTTTTCAAAATAAAGAAAAACATATTTTTGATGGCTTTCTGCCGTCTTGATTTCCTTTCTGTGAACTTGTTGCAAATTAGACAAATGGACAGAAACATAGAAATTGTCGCTTTTTTTTTTTGTATTGTTAATTAAGTCAAACATATTTCACGTATAGGGCTATTTATTAATTTAATATATGTGATTTTATTCATTTTTCTCCGTTCATAGAATTGCTTATATTTATTTCAGCTTTATTTTAATGAACAAAAATGTTTTTAATAGTTTTAGTTAACTATTACAGTTAGTAGGGTACAACAGGGCTAAAGGCCCACCTTAAGAAAACGTACTATTCACTGCGCCTAAAATGTATAATTGCAGAAAAAAATACGTTGTATTGATTTTTAATAGAGCAACAGATTTTGTGTGAAAATAAATCATTCAAGTTGTTTATTTTGTTTAAAAATCTTATAAATGTATGAGGTGGCAAGAGGGGCCTTTTACCCCACACACAGGGTAAAAGGCCCACGGTATTGATACAAATACTTTTAAAATAATGTCTAAGTTAATACTTGTTCAAAACAATCACTTTAGCAAAGTTTGTACTATTTTCTGCTTACTTTGAAAAATATATTTTAAAATACAGAAAGAAAATCATTTTAATAAGTAAAGATTCTGAAAGTACTGAAGGAGATCCAATAATAATTGAATATATATTTACAGTAGTAACAACAAATTATATTTTATTATATGATATGATTATTCATTCTTTTACATATTCTTTCATTATTTAAAAACTGTTGCTTTAATTATCTTAAACAAAACTGAAAATCATAAAGAAGACCTTGGTCTGAAAATATATGCATTAATTTGAGCGATTCTCATTTGCTACTTAAATCTACAACATTTTAAAAAACATCAAATATTAGATCAAGTAAGCACAGAATCAATTTTGCGCTGCAGCGTGCGATCACGTCAAGGATCAGACAAATATACACGTGCATCTTGAAAAGGGAATGTTTTGGAAAGTGCTATGCCACGTTTTTGTGCTATCTAGTGGTTTAGATAAAAATTATATCAAAGGCGCCTTTTACCCCGGGACTTAGCCACGTTGTACCCTACACTTTCAATTTTCCAGCTGTTTCAAACCACAAATATTCACTAATTATTTAATGCCTGTTTGGGACAAAATTTCAGCCAGGTCTGGAGTTCCAATGTAGGCCTATCTTTTGTGTGTAAATTCTGCACTTTTTTATCGGTTTCATTTTGATAAACATGACACAATACACTATACCATTAATATATCATGAAAAGAGTTTGTAACACTGTTAAAGCACGACATGAAATACAGTGAGTCTGATTAATCTTGAATTAGCTGTCCTCATCAGAGTTCGTGCAGCCACCCTGGAGAAACTGCGATGACCATAATGAACCCGTCTGCTTGCGAATCGCTCTTGTGGTAGCCTACTTTTATGGTATACATTGCTTCAAGTCAGACGATAAGCGCAAAACGAATACAACTTTATGTGGTCAGAAGGTGCGCATGCACCCATGCTCCTCCAATTAATTATCCATTAACAGTTTCCGTAATTATTTATTGCAAAATATGGGCTTAAAAGTCCTGATGTCCTTGAATAAAGTCCTTATTTGATGAAACTTGATACACATAGACACTAGGGCATTCTGAGAATTCAAGACAATTTAATTGAAGGTGCATCACAACAACAACAAAAACACTGTAACTGTTTGAACAAGGATGTTGAAATTTACATGCATTTTCTATGTTAGACGACATGCTTACATATAGCTACTAACCTAGCAGGTAATACTGTACATTTATTTGTGAGTGGCTGATTATTATGAAATTTGGCAGATATGTAGATATAAGGTAGCGCTATAAAAAGCATGTGACCCTGTGACCCAATAATGACTAATTATCATATCACTGTGAGTGCAATGTAAAAAATTAACTTCAACATGGAACAGGATACAGAGGAAACATTTCAAATGTCTCTCATTTCTGATGCTAGGGGGTGCTATAACTTCAATAAACCTCTAAACCTTTGCTATGTTTGTTTACATTTAGCACTAGCAGCTTGTTTTCTTTCAATTTTATTTATAATTTTTACTTTACTAAACTGTTTGGACACCAGTAATTGTCGATGGTGGCTATTTGAAATCTTACTAGAATAACTCGTCATTAATGTCAAGTTAAACATAGGTGACTGCATGTGATACACTTTCTGCTCTTTATGTCAGACTAACAAGACTTCCATTTTTCTGCCACACAGGATGCAAATACTCATGTTGTATACAGAATGGCAGATATCCGACTGAGGCCACTTTCCTCAGGTAAGACACAGATTCCTCTCGCATGACAAATATTGTAAATTGACCCTCATGTCATTTCAAAATTGTATCACTGTCTTTTAAGGGGTCACCACACATCATGTATTGGCTTTTATGAACAGACAGTCTCTGTCTTATATGATCTATACCCAAGTGGTTTTCTTCATCATTCAGACCCTGTCTGCTTTTACATCCTTCCAGATTTCTCTCTTTCTCCGTCTTCTGCATACTGATTTTCTGTATGGATAATTTTTCAGTAGTACACATCTTTATCGATCCACTGAAAGCTGACGAATGGGAACTTTTTGTTCGGGATGGTTTTCATCCGTATATGGCTTCTTCTCTTCCAGGAAGCACCAGGAACAGCAGTGACTCTGTCATTAACAATGACTATCCCGTTTCTATGGAGACGAACGAGCCGGAGCTCACAGATGGGCTGAGACGGGCAAAAAGACAGGTGAGAGTTTTTATTTTTGACATGAGTTGATTTATCATTTTTTCTTGAAGATTAGTCATGCACAACAGGCTGCCGAAAAGGGCACCTAGAAATCAATTTCAACTAAAGGAGGGCCAAGGTAAAGGTTTTGTACCGGTTTAATCTGGTACAAAAGGTTTACTCTAACTGGGCCCTGCATGTGTACATCAGAGGTTAGAATTACTGGTCTCACTTATATTAGCTGTCTTTCACTACAAATACACTTTCACTACTGGTCAAAAGTTAATTAAGCTAATTAGTAAAAACAGTAATATTGTGAAATATTTTAACAATTTATACAATTTAAAATAACCGTATTCTATTTTAAAATGTAATTTATTCATGTGATTCATTACTCCAGTCTTCAGTGTCACATGATACTGAAATTATTCTAATATCGAATTTGCTGCTCTTATAATTATCTTATTAACTTAATATTATAAATGTTAAAAACAGTTTTGCAGTTTCATATTTTTATGGTAACTGGATAAAACACTGAATTTCTTTTCTTTCTTTCTTTCTTTCTTTTTTACTTTTATTTAAATCGTACTTCAAACTTTTAAATGGTAGTGTGTCACAACAACAGCAAAAACAACAACAAAATATATTTTTTCAAAAGTTTTCAAAACTGATAATAGTAAGAAATGTTTCTTGAGCACCAAGCTCAAGAAGACTGAAGACTGGAGTTATGGCTGTTGAAAATTCATTTTTGCAACCACAGGAATCCATTGCTTTTTAAAGTATATTCAAATAGAAAACAGTTTGTTTAAATTGTAATAATATGTTATGATATTACAGGTTTTATTAGTCAAAGAAATAAAGCCTTGGTGACATAAAAGCCTTTTTCAAAAACAAAACAAAAAAAATAACGGCCGTCAAAATTTAACTGGTTATTCACTCTCAAATCAGATTTTGGTGGTATCAGAAGGTTACTGACTAACTCACGTCTTTTATAAAGCATATATTTTGTTGTAAATTCAAAATAGAGCTTACTCCAAAATGAATGACAGTCCCTGATCTCTTGCTTTTTAATGGAATAGAGCTTCAATTGTGGAACAAAAATTCTAAAGTCATTTTTTAATATAACATAAAAAATATTTTACCATAAAACACAAAGCCACAACCATTTTTCTACTTCAATCCTAAGGGTGATAACTTTGAGTTTTATCATTGAATCATTTAAGACAAGTGAAATTACTGAAAGTCTACCAGGAAAAACTTTCACAATATGCACACATTCAAACTTGATCTTTTACCATGCTAAAAACCTCTATGTTAATGTTTCTTTGTCTTCGCTTGTTAAATTCACAATTAGCAATTACATTTTGTGAAGAATAATGTATATGACATTCAAAATGGCAACATTTTGTTACAGTACACAGTCGGCAAATAAATATTGCTGGATTCAGCGGTCATGTTCAGTTGCTTACATCTTATCTCACATTCTTTAGCTATTAAAAGTGCCGCAGTAGAATTCCTGCTCGGTTTCTGTAACGGAGGCGACGAGACGTGCGGATCCATTTGCAGGCTTTTATTAAACAGAGATGGGTCAAACAGTGGCAAACAGGTACATTTCAGGCAAGACAAAGAGTATTCCTAGGGCAAGCGTGGGTCTACGATCGGCGAACAATATCCAGAGGGCTTGACACGAGGGGTTATCCAATAACACAAGCAATATTCCAGGTAAGGTGCAAACACAGTCTGAAACAGCAGACAAAGGGTTAATCCAAGATACACAGGTAGAAGATCAGGAAACAACAAGGCAACAAGGCAACACGAAATGACTAGACTTAGGATAGAACTAGAAACGGAAATTTGGAATAGCTCCGTAATGTAGCTATCGTTAGAAGAGTGATATACGCTAAACAATACTTGGTGACTTTAGCAGGATCTGAGCGGGTGTTATTTAGTATGTGTAATAGCTTTCAGGTGAGCGTGTGATTGGTTACAGCTGTGTGCAATCAGTGCAATGGATGATGGGAAATGCAGTCCAGGGTGATGTGTGGTGTGAGATTCAGTATAATGGGAGATCGACCTCTGGTGGCAATCAGACGGAAGGCCACGGACCGGATTCGTGACAGTTTCTGTGAACACTCAGCCCTCACATTCTTTGATTTGATTGGTCATCTGAATCATTTTCATATTGCAGTTACACTGTGCTGAGCATGAACATGCTAAATATATTAAAATTATTTTGAGGGAGACTGAAATTACTAAGGCTAGCCTAGTTACGACCATCCCCACCCAAAATATAATTTCAGAATTATTGATGGCAAAATGATACCCATAAAGTGATTGGACAGAGCGCTAGACAAGACAAACCACAACTCAAACATGACTGAACTATAGTTATTAGCACAGATCATCCACATCATAGATTTGAAAAAGGCTAAAAAATAAGTATGTAAAGCTGTGGAAAGGTAGGAAGGTAGAGGTTGGGAAAAGGGGAGGGAACAGTAAATAAAACAGGGCTACAACTCACTCAGTATGCAGGTGAATGAATATTAAAATTGGGTGGAGACAAAAACAACAGAGTTGGGGCCACTTTGCTCTATTTTAAAAATATAACCCTATGACAACAAACTCCTAAAACTCCCCATCTTTATCGCTAGGGGCGTAATACAATCAACTGTCATGAACAAATCAAATGAGCTTTTAAGATCTGTAGTGACAAATGTCAATGCTACTGGATGAGGAAGAACATTTAAAAGACCTTTCACAATATCTTCATCATTTATGAGTACTAAATGACACATGGGTTTAACACACGTGAAACCGTAAGAATAAAGACAGTTACTTTTCTGTCCATTATTATTTACATTTTTTATTTCACATTGTCTATGACTGTGTTTTAGTGTCATGAAAATAAATAAATTTAAGATTATGAGATGAAAGTCATAATTCTTTGAGAAAAAAGTCAAAATTCCAAGAATAAAGTTGTAGCAATACGATATTAAAGTCGTAATATTTGGAGAATAAAATAGTATATTGCATGATGAAATTTTATTCATTTAATTACACTAAATTACATTCAATTGTGAAAATTCCAACTACTCCACAAAAATCACATGTATTTAACATTAAAAACAGTAATAAAAATTTTCTAAAGGTTGAAGTGGGCTCTAACTTGGTTAACTGACTGATTTATGAGAATAATAAAACAAATGTTGGCAAAGTTATACCATTGTTCCTTTAGTGTGTATTTCTTACTTTTAAATTCATTCCAGCTCCTTTCCATCTGTCTTAGAAGAAAGGCAGTGAGGCCCAGTGGCCTACCCACCTAATATGGTCAAATTAAAGAGAATAACCTTAATAATTTACTTTTATTTTACAAGCTCTGCTTCCTCTTTATTATCCAGAGCTGCAGTGCCGAGCAGCATTGCTGTCATCGTTATCACTTTGAGGATCAAAGAGCACCCTTTGATTGGTGAATGTTCCTGAAGCAAAGCTAAATATAATTAAATAATATTTAATTATATAGATAATTAACTAAGAGAAAAATCTTTGGTTAGGTAAATGACAGGTATTTTTAACACTACATTAAAAGCTGTAGGCCATAATGATACTATACAACAGTGAATGACTGACATTTCAGCACTTAATGAACAGACAGCGACTTAAGTAGCACTTAAGAGCATTCATGTAAAGTGCATTTTAGGGAAATGTAAAAAAGGAACAAACGTTTGTAACCTCGCACATAAAAACCCTTTTCCCATTGGGAAATGCCACCGGATTGCTGTGTTATACTGCAGCTAAATGGATTCCCTTTCAGTTCCACTTCTGTTCATCACTACAGAAGCCGTTTGCCGGAAATCATTTTACCCCAAATTTGTAATTTTTACCTTTTTTACTTAAAAATAAAAACTATATTTTTGCTCCACAAATCATAAAAACATTAATGTGTCCACAAATATGTTAATACCAAAGAAACACAATAACATTTGCTATTCAACATATATGACAGATTTAATATTACAGATTTCAAGAGACTCCAAATTAGTTCATATAACCTGAAAATTGTTTTGGCTGACTAAATCTCATGTTAATATTTAAATTAAATGACAAAGCTAAGAAAATATAGCTATTCATTAAATGTGATGAGATTTTTTGCAATCATCATGCTCCACATTTCAATATTTTGGATTGCAACTTTTAAAAGCATTAAAATGGTAATTAATCAAACTAGTTTAAATAATTTGATAAAAGAATAATATGTTTCCAGATTTTTTAAACATTTTTCATTAAAACATTTCCATCACAACATGAACTTCACACAGGCTGTATCATTGAACATTGATCATCATTACACAAACATGTCACAGGGACATCTGAGGCTACACACAGAAAGTGTTTTTGTTGTTGTTTTGCAAAAACAACACAAAAAATTCAATTCGAGAGAGTTTTAATTTTCTTGATGATTAGCTTCTTTAAGACTTGAGACTCTTAAGACCAAATAATCAGTGAGAGCACCTGCCCTGAAAAAAGTTGTCATTTTTGAACATTCTAAAATATAAAAAAGCAGTACTATGGTCAAAGAGATCCATCTAGTGTATGTTTACGTAGGAATACAACTGAAAAACAGCAGAAATACTTTCAGTGTGAATGATGGCCAGTATCATGATTAGTATCACGTTTTTTACTGACTGATGAACCGTGTCAAATGTTTCAGTGCAAGTCGATTCACCGCTTTGAAAACTTGTTTGGCTAATTCACTAAAAAGAAAGAATCAACTCAAAAGAATGATTCATTTCTGAATGAATGGCATCGTCCGTTTAGTCGACAGATGTATGGGATACACATAATATTACTGAAATGTTTACAGGGAAAAAGTGTTTCAGATACAGCCTTGCAACTGCAGGCGCCACTGACATGTAACATTCTGTCGTGTTCCTTCAACACTTTAAAGACATTGGCTTGCTTAAAGCTGTGACTCCATGTGTCTCCCTACAGGTTCGGAGGGGTCCGCGCACAGTTCAGAGTGAAACAAAGTATGTAGAGTTACTAGTGGTCAATGATTACGAACTGGTAAGATCTCCTGATAGTTTATTTACTTATTACTTATTATTTTCTGTGTTTTTCTTGTGTGTAATTTATGTCTTGATGTTTCTCTTTGTAGTTTGTACAGATGCGAAGATCGTCCCCTCAGACGAGGAACTTTGCCAAAGCTGTAGTAAACATGGCTGATGCAGTACGTCCTGAAGTTTGACAGACACATTCACCGTTTTTTCTCATGATGTTGTCTTTAAGTACTGTAGCAATTTTTATACTTAACAAAACATCCTATTAAATTCCAGATTTACAAGGAGCAGCTGAACACTAGAATAGTGCTTGTTGCCATGGAGACATGGTCAACTCAGAACATGGTTTCTGTTGGCGACGATCCTTTGGTGACCCTGCGTGACTTTATGAAATACAGGAAGGAGAATATCAAAGAGAAGAGTGATGCAGCTCACCTGCTTTCGTATGTTATGTTTCCTTCTACATACAGATGACACACTCTTTACAGGCTCGGTCACTGCATTAGACACATGCAGTACAAATATATTGAATGTAAATATCAATTCAATATAATTAACTCAGTGTTCTAACCAAACACAACGCGATAAGATTCCAGCGACAAGCAATTTTTCTGTCAACAACCAGACATGACACGGATATGAGACACGACAAAATCAGTCAATATCATAGCCAATCAGAAGAGCGGGTGGGCAGGCTTTCTCTGCAAGCACACTGAACTCCAAAAAAATTGATAAGTACATATCTAATTCATAAATATTAAACAATTTTAACATTATTCAAATAAATGATACAATCTTTGTTATGGAACACATTTTGTTTATTTTGATTTCATAGTCGCTTTCATAGTTGCTCAAGTCCAGTGTCGCTTTTAGTATGGCTATAAAAGTCACGTCAAGTGATATTCACACTCATATTAGACACTTAACATTACATAAAGCCCATAATCAGTGCCTGAGATTATCATTGTCATAGTTTGTATGCTGTTGTTCCAGTTGCGGCCTCAGATTAAGATTAAGGAAGATATACTTTTTATCGCGTGTCGCAGTGCTGAGTCACATCTGGTTAGGACACGGTGTTAAGCCCCATGAAATTGAGTTCATGTTTGTTAGCCATCTATATGGTAGTGTACCTCATGAAGTATTTAAAATCTTTCTTGTCCTGGAAAATGGACTGAAAATATTAATTGAATCAGTTTTTGTCCAATAAAATGCTCTTCTATGTCCTTGCCCCTAAAAACTCTTGTTTCAATTGGAAATGCATCAATGGAGGAAAGAAAATGTTGTAATTTAGTTAAACCATTTCATGGGGCCTTATGCAATGCACTTGCATCACACCAGTGGAACTGCAATTTAATATTAATTATGACTTTCGTGATAACCAACTCTGTAAAAAGTTTAAAACCTGAAAATATTTGGGGTATTATTTTGCCCGTAGGGGACGCACATTTCAAAGCAGAAGCAGTGGCACTGCCTACATCGAGGGCATCTGCACACCAACACGAGGAGGAGGAGTCAATGAGGTGAGAGCTAAGTGGCTAAAGCTCAGAACTGCCAAATAGCAAAAAGCAACAAACAATGAGCCATCACCATTTTGCCCTTGAGTCACTTTGTGAATGTGAATTGACCCTATTTTTTCATTATAAATTACTGGTGTTCCAAAGAAATACAAATTGTCTTCATAAATCAAATCACATCAAATAACTCAATTAATAACTTAAAGTAAACATCAAGGTCTGTTAATTTTCAACAAACAAGTGCAGAAGTATTTCAGAAAGGAGCAAGTTCAGCAACTGACTAAATATGGCTCCGTTCTGGGACTGAACAGCCATTTTTGTTTTTGTTTTAATGTCCAATTCATTGACTTTCCCCCATCCCAGCTTAATTTGCAGAAACAGTTATAATTCATCCATTGGGCAGATGATTTCCCCAAGAAATGCATTCACTGTTCAAAACTGGCTCAAGCAGTGGTGCCATTTGGGGTGGAATTACAGTACTGCTTAAGGTTTCAGAGTGTTCATTTTCAGTGGGATTTTCGACATTATCAGTATAAATCCTTATCAGTTCTTGTTTTAAGTGTAAAATTAAAATAACCTGCAATTATTGTTAAAACCAACAATAATGATTTTCTTTTTGATTACATAAAAATGGCAATATACAGTCACAGTTAGACGTGCACAATGCACCTTTGGCAGCTGTGTTGCCTGATTAATGGAATAAACTTGGTCCAAGTTTCTTTTTAGAAGATGATTGGGTCAGCACTGCTTTATAACTTTAGTGATTGATTAAGGTTAGTACACTACAGACCAATTAGAACCCTGTTCATAAATGCATTATAAATAACTTTTATTTAACCCTTGTGTGGCCTTCGGTCACTTCGGTCAAAAATCGTAGCTTCACCAGAATGATACGAAACTTGATGACTTTTATGGCACTTGGTATGTGAACACACAAAAAAAATTAGGGTATGATTCGAAAAAGCTAAGTGGTCGTAAAAAAAATAGTCTCACTCATGGTCTTCGGTCAAAAATGACTGACCATAGGAAATACAAATCCAATCTACAAATCCCCCACAACGCAGAAAAAAATTGGTGGTGAAATGAAGGGGTGAAACTCTAAAACATCTAGATTGCAAAATCAACACACCAACTCACACACGCGCGGACACACACACACCTATGAACTGGTGTGACTGCAACACTGCAACTATGTCAAATAAAATCAATAATTCAACTACAATGCAATAAAAAAGAGGACAGCAAGGAAGGGGTTACCCTCTAAAACATCAAGAGTGTAAAACAGATACATCCACTCACACACACTTACTTACACACACTCACAGACACACACATACTAAAATTGGTATGGCTATAAATAAGAGGTTAAAATCAGACCAGACCCAGAAGGATTAAGCTCTGATAAAGCATTCCTGTTCATTTTTGTTACATTTTTATCGAATTTTAATGTTTTGTGTAACAAAATGCTTTCTGTGTTCAGGTTTGAATGTAGTAATAATAATGCAAAAACCTACACTTCAAATCAACATTTAAAACAACAAAAAATATAAACCTTGACAAAAAGTAGTCTTTGAGAATGCCTTAATATACATTTAAATCCACAACCTAATAAAAGTAAACAATTATGTATAAAAACAACTAGGGAATTCACAAGCCTCTCTATAGAGTCCTACACATGAATCTAGTGGTTACACCATGAAATTACAGGTTTTTCTTCTTTTTTTCTTCTTTTTTTTTGCTCTCACTAGGAGGTGCTATTCTGCCTTTACAAATTGGATTTTAAAGGCCTAGTCTCCATTTTAATCTGAAATACTGCATTAATAAAAAAAAAATTAGAAAAAAATATTTGTACTATTTTCAATGGGGAAAATTGATCATAATTATTGCATAAATATTCATTATTACCATAAAATTATCTCAAAATACAAAAGAAAAAAATATTATTGAACAAAAATATATTAGATTGATTTTACTGAAGAAAAAAAAAGTTACATTTCAGGTGTCCAGTCACTTTTGACTGCGAAGTCCATGAGTGTGACTCCCAAATGAGGAGCGCACAACAATATATTTTCATATCTTGTTTTCACAATGCAAAGACATCACAAAATGATAAAGACTTATGCTGATGTTGTTTAAACCTAACTTTGCCTATGATGTTTCCAAACTTTGGAAGGCACCATATGTACATATTTATTTTACAATTCTGCTTGCTGCTGCTAGAGGACAGTAAATACACACTTCACCTATAACCTCAGGTTTCACCAGGGGGATTATTTCTATAATACGCATACTTTCTATAATAAGTCACTTTGCATTATATCATCTGCTAAATGACTACTAACTTCCCATCTGTGTGTATATGTCAGTATGGAAACGTGGGGCCCATGGCTATAACCTTGTGTCAGAGTTTAGGACAGAACCTTGGAATGATGTGGAATAAAGATCGTGCTACTGCAGGTAGCCTTCTACTTCGTAAACCCATTCCTCCACTCTTGACGAAATATATCAAAATAAATAAGGACTGTTGTTTTAATGAATGTGTGTGTGTGTGTGTGTTGTAGGAGATTGTAAGTGTCCAGATCCATGGTTAGGCTGCATCATGGAGGATACCGGGTGAGTCAAGTTTTTGGGTCTTTGTGTGGGTGCATTTTTATTTCAACACTTATGCTGAAACGTGTACTATGCAAGTACATAAGCTGTGTCAGAAATGTTTGGCAAGTGCATTGCAAGCATGAGGCCCCATTGTACATGATGTGCTTGATGTGCATTCTTGCCAGGGTTGCGCAGAATTCAGAATTGAGGAACTGAATTGAACTGACCGTACCACAGGATGACTGGAAGAAAAATTTATTGAATTGCAATTCAAAGAAATTCAACACAATTAATGCATTCTGGAAGTGTTCTTCCACTTTGTCCACTAAAGTTGAATAATTAAATACAATGAAATTAATTGTATTTCATTCTCTCTGCCCCTAAGGCCTATGAAACCTTCAAACTTGCAAACAAGGCTGTCAGGCAAACTAAGTTTAACTTGTTTAGTTAAAATATAACAGTTATGTCAATTTCTTTGAATTTCAAATTCAATGTAATTATACTTGCATTATGTTTTCTACCTTAATTCCAATTTACTTTAAAAGCATTATCAATACACTTCTGAATGGCACACAGCCTTGCTTCTTGCATTATTGTAACCTCAGTACTCAAGTGGGTGATAGACTTTAAATGTCTTTGCCATGAAACCAGATTGTTACTCTTCAGATTGCTACACATTTGTAAGATTCAGCTTGCTCTGCAAGATTCTAATTGAACTGTTGCTTCACCGTGGAGAGTATTTTTCAAGTAATTTCAAGTCTTAATGTCTACAAAATAATTAGTTTCTGTAGCACAACTGGTGGAGCATATAGTATATTTGCAATACTAAAGTCATAGATTTGATTCTTAGGATGCCTCATAATGTATACGTTATATAGTTGCTTTGTATAAAAGTGTCTGTCAAATGTAAATTACATTTTGCTGTTCCTTATCAATTAGTTTTACACACTTTCCATGTAAGGGTAACTGAACACTGTGAACTGTGTTATGTGATCCTGACAGATACTATCTACCCAGAAAGTTTTCACGGTGCAGTGTAGAGGAGTACATTCAGTTCCTCCAGCAAGGAGGAGGGAGTTGCCTCTTCAATAAACCTAACAAGGTTTGTCTGGAACATCCACTAAAAATGGGAGGGAAAAAAAACTATTATGTTTATTAGCACATATTTGCAACAACACTACAAGCAACAAAGCTGTTTTATCGACTAAGTAGTAGGGTAGTTTTATCAAATGCTATGCTATATTTTCACAGACAATATTCTGGCAAATTCTGTAGTCTTTGTCCTAATCTTTGTGGAAAGACAAGAAGACATTTTACAACAGCAGATGTGATTTTATTGACCGATAACTTCCCGATATGCTGGGTCCTGGATATCCAACATGCCAGTCACAGTGATGGTGACATAAAAACAATTGCAGTCCAATATAACCATTGACAATTTAATGAAAAACTTAGATTCTTTTTGGTTGCTGACAAAAGCCATGGACCCCAAGCACCCGTTTTCCCTTCAGTGGTATGTCCAGATGTAATTGTGACCCAAACACCAAATCTACTGGTGTCTTCTTCAAACAAGAGATTTGGGGGTGGATTTTTGTGGATTCCTACACTGTCAAAACAATATGCCCACAGGTCTGGGGGAGGTATTTGTTCTACTACAGTATATCCTGAAGGCACCAGGGTCAGTAAAATTGCCCTATGGCTTGCCACAGCATCTTGGACACCCTTGCTCTCACAGAATCATGAACCAGTGAAGGAACCTGGTACCTGCCTAGAGTGTCTGCCAACCATCACACATGCTGAGGGAATTCCTCTCAGCGTATTCAGTCTTACAATACACAGGCAAGAGACAAATCATGGAGTTGCAGATGGATGGGCAGTGTGTCGCAGGTGTGGCTGTGCCAGTCTGCATCAATCCCCTTTGCCCACAGTAACATTTGTCTGACAGTGTGAAAGGAGCTGTCAGATAAAAGGGTGGTGTTAGCGAGGTTACAGCCTTCTCTGTTAATTCCAATACCATATTCAGTGTCAAGTCAAGTCAAGTCAAGTCACCTTTATTTATATAGCGCTTTTAACAATACAGATTGTGACAAAGCAACTGAACAGCATTAATTAGGAAAATAGTGTCAATAATGCAAAATGACAATAGTAAACACTAATTTTTCAGTTAAAGACAGTTCATCATTGAATTCAGTGATGTCAACATCCAGCTCAGTTTAAATAATATCTTTGCAATTATGTCAACGATAACGCTGGAAATGAAGTGTCCCCAACTAAGCAAGCCAGAGGCAAGCCAGTGTCCATGAGAGAGATGGACATGCTGCTCCAGACACATATGTTTGTACCAGCTCAGAGTGCATAGGCACACTGTGCTTGTGCCTTCTGCACATTAGTACACAATGTTCATCTTGTGACAGTTGTGGTTGGAGATCCAGTGACTTGGAGCATTGTAGAGTGTCTTCTATCTCTTTCTCCAGAGATCCTAATTCTGACGCTAATGTAGCAAACGATGAGCTCACGGTCTCTGAAAATGAGACAACTAAAAGTAGATTTTTACGACCGTTAAAGCAAGGTACACTCAGCTTAACACAAAAATAATCAAATACAACACCAATGCAAATTAAAAAATAAATAAATAATAATAATTAAAATAATACCATCAGTTTACCTGTGCCACTTATGCTGCCGTGCATGCTGGCAAATGGAACCTTTTCCCAACACCACAGACATCACAATAAATATATGAAGCAGTCTGAATGTATTTAACTACTTTTACCATGTAGCTTGAAGTGTAATTTCTTTCTTTAAAGGATAGATTTAGGTTACTGTAGCTTGCTCAACACTGCATATTTAATATAAGTATGTGGCAGTGACATATTTCCTGTCGCTACAGTTGTTGGATCCTCCTGAATGTGGCAATGGTTTTGTGGAACAGGGAGAAGAATGTGACTGTGGCTCCCAAGTGGTGGGTGACAAGATGACCTCACTTAAATTTCCTTTAAAAATCCAATAGCAACCTATCATTCATACCATTCACACCCTGGCTTAAAGGGATAGTTCACCCAAAAATAAAAGTTCTGTCATCATTTACAAACATTTGATGGTAGCCATTATGAAAAAAAAAAATACTATGGTTACTAATAATACTAAGTCAATGGCTAGCGTCAAATTTTTGGTTACAACATTCTTCATTATATCTTATTTTGTACTTAACAGAAGAAAGAAACTCATAGGTTTGGAACAAGTTGAGGGTGAGTAAATGATGACAGAATTTTCATTTTTAGGTGAACTATCCCTTTAAAGTGTGTTAGTATAAGTGAACAGGAAGGTGATTATCGCAGTGCTGTGATAAGCTAATGGAATGTTTGTATTGGCTGTGCACTCTTGTAGGATTGCTCTCGTGCCGGGGGTGCATGCTGTAAAAAATGCACTTTGACCCATGATGCAATGTGTAGCAATGGACTCTGTTGTAGCCGTTGCAAGGTAAGTGGTGGCAGAATTGTTTATGCAAAAATTTTAATTCATGTTGTGACCAAGAGCTGTCAAGCTCCAAAAAGAATCAAAGGACCAAAGGACCATCATAGTGGTGGTTTTGGTCCTTTTTGGAGCTTGCCAGTACTTGGTCATTAAGCATCATAGATGTCCATAATACAATAACTTTGCTTTTTAAAAAAAACAAAACACAAATTTAAGTTTTTACTGAAAATTCCCCTCCACTGTTGCAAATCTTCTGCGTTTGCATATATTGCAGCATGAAGACGGCATGTTTCTCGTGCCATGCAGTGAATCGCAACACAAAGTTTGAATATGCAGACTAATAACGAGATTTGAAGGCTGCGGCAAAGGGGGCAGTTTTCTGTCAATAATGACTAAAAGTCATTTTCTCAAAAAAAATTGTTAATATCAATTTCTCTTCTTCATATCCTTCCAAAACTTTGACTTTCTTTCTTCCGTGGAACACAAAGAAAGTTTGAGTAATTACTGGTAATGACAGATATAAGATTTATATAGGATGCAAAAGCACCATATACAGTATGTAGGCCATATGATTTGTGCTATATTCCAAGTCTTCCAAGACACCTGGATTGGGTGGATGGTTAAATAAATTAAGGAAGATGGTAAGATATATTTAACTTTTGATATATCTCTTGAGTTTTACACAAACTATTATATTGACCAACAAAATATATATATATAAGAACTAATGACTAAAAAGATACACCTAAAACACCTAATGTATAAATACACCTAATCAATGGAATAACCAATGACAAGACAGAACTGAGAACCACCTGATAAGAAAACAAACCTATAGGTGTGGCCGACTCAAAGCAGCACTGCACAGACCAGTTGGTGTAGGATATCAAAGTACTGCGAGAGCTGTACTTTGAATTGAGTAGCTGAAGGCATGTTGTTCAGCAAATCTTTTCACAAAGTCATCTACATTCAAGACCTTGGTGGGTTTTGACTCAATGCTGAGAACAGACAAACTCGGCAATCTACTCTGTGCCTTAGGTGACCTTAACTGACTTTTGATTATCTTCAGACCTGAAAAACTCTGTTCACATGTGGCACTGATACCTGGTAATATAACAACTATTTCGTACAACCTGAACTGTTCAGAAAAACATCCTTCAAAAAAAAAGGCTTTGATGCAGTAATGCATCACTGTTTCTTTTAGTGCATCAATTAGTTAAACAACCTTAGATTGGTCAACAGATTTAGACTTTAGCATCTTAAGCAAAATATTAATGTCACCTAACACCTTTTGGAAGAGCTCAGAATTCGATCAAAAGGGTGCTTCTACTAAATACTGAGCAAAGGGTCTGAATACTTAGGACCATGTGATATTTCAGTTTTTCTTTTTTAATAAATCTGCAAAAATGTCAACAATTCTGTGTTTTTCTGTCAATATGGGGTGCTGTGTGTACATTAATGAGGAAAAAAAATTTACTTAAATGATTTTAGCAAATGGCTGCAATATAACAAAGAGTGAAAAATGTAAGGGGGTCTGAATACTTTCCGTGCCCACTGTATGTAAGATCCAGACAAGAAAACATGGTCTTTCCAACAGAGAAATTGCCAACACGGACATCTACTTTGACTAGGTTGTGAGATTGTGCACTGCAATGCACATAAAATGCATGCTTGACTACTTAGTTTATTCTTGCTAGGACACCTGAATAAGCTGATGGAGCTAATGACCATTAGACCCTTGACCTACAAAATTTTTGCAAATTTTACTTATTGCAATTTTAGAAAGCTCTCATAATAGTATCTCAAGACAATTGACTTGAATTGACTTGCTCTTTTTTCTGAACACTGATCCACCTTCACCATTTCTGCCAACCAAGCCAATATTTCATTCTAATAAGCTGCTAGTAAAATAATTTGTTCGTGATCAGGTACACTGATTGTGTTGAACTGTATGTTTCTGAAGAATCAGTTCATTAGAGTCGTTCATTTGGACCACCATAGGTACGCTGCATGAACTCTTGAAGATGTTTTACATTATTTGTCATTATTTCATCACATTTTTCATCACTACACATTGAAGCACCACTGCTGTAAATAGGCCTTTTTCACAAAAATCAGAAATGTTGTCAGCACAGGGCAAAGTTAGTTATACTACAGGTCTGTGCCTATTATATTAATGTACTCTTTTTCCTTAAACCTTAAACCTTATCTGTTTTGTATGTTTTCCAAGTTGTTGATATATAAATAACATTTTACTTGTTTGTAACTTATGGTTAAGATAATATACTGCTGGATGGTTTCTATTCTTCACCCAGTGGTACATTTGAGCATATTATCTCAATGATATTAACTCCTTCAATCATTTCCCTTGAATTACTACAACATGATAACAAAATTTAAAAATGACAACATTTATTTCCAGTACAGATGCACATTTTTTCCAAAAATAAATTAAACAAACAATTCTGAATGAGTCCGATTGAAACGCATTAAACTCAATGCAACATGTAAACGCGATTAAAAAAAGCCATGAACTTAAGTCTTCCCTTGTTAAAAATGCATTTTCCCAAGGCACATTATACTGTACATTTAAACCATCATGTTAATAATGAAAAGGAGAACAAGAAGAAAATACAATATCATTTTATTAATAATAATATCAAAACCCTCTACGGACACCTTGGCAACTGAATCGCCATTGGCTAGTAAATTTTTTAGTTTACTCGCCAGACTGATTTATATATATATACTGTATATACATATATATATATATATATATATATCTTTTTAAATATCTTAAAGTACACTCTTAACATCAGTCAGTCAAGCATTATAATATGATATTATGATTATCAAGTATTATGTAATGATAGAACTTTAGTAATTAGAATTTAAACTTGGTAACCATGTATGAATGCATATTAGTCATTTTAATTGAACTTAGGACTGGTGGTGGTGATTTTTGGGTCATTCAGTGTTTCTGTAAAAATGGGGAAAAAAACGAACAACAATACTTATAAGATAATAATACAATGAATTCTACTAATAAGAACAATATAGAACGCATTAGTTCCGCCCACTACCGGAGAACCCGGCAGTTCTTAAAGGGGTCATAGGATGCTACATGCACTTTTACAAGTTGTTTGAACTGAAATGTGTGTTGGCAGTGTGTGTACACAACCACCCTATAATGATAAAAATCCACCCAGTGTTTTTTTTTAATAAACTAAAATCTTTACCCTTTTCTCAAATCGAGCCGATCTTGCTACAAAACGGCTTGCTCTGAAAAGAGCTGTTTTTGACAGGGTAAAAAAGGTGTTTTTTACACTACCATTGAGAAATTTTAACCAAACTATGTTACAGACTTTTTATTAAGACCCTAAAGAATCATATCAACTTGTTGAAAATGGGCATCCGATGACCCCTTTAAAAGCTGAAGAATTCCAAAGGAACTCCGTTATTTTGATAGGAGAATACAACAAAGAATATCGTTTACATGTAGCGCGTCAATTCTGCACGTTATGTAATACTCTCTCGCTCTCTCTGCATGTGTGTGAGACAAAGCAACGGCGAGTCGTGCGCCTTCACACTAGAGTTTACGGTACGTCAAATACAGGCGTGCTGTGCATCCATTGAGATGAACTGAAAAATAGCACAGATCGCTTGACAGAGAGTAAAACTCTGAAGCGCTCAGTCAGGGAGTGTTCGGCGAGTAAAAATATATCTGTGCCAAACTTATACTTAGCCTCCAACTCACACACTGGCGAGTAAAATCTGAGAATTTATAAGCCATTGGCTAATATTAGACATAATTTAGTCGCGAGAGTGAAGATTTAGTCGCATATGCGAGTGATTTACTTGCAATGTAGAGGGTTGTATCAATGTGTATGATGTGTATTTCATAATTTTTCATTTGTAAATAGACTTTGATAAGCCTTTGATTACCGAATTGTTTTTGTTGGGTACAGCCTCAGTGATTCATTCACAAATCAGACTCTCCTTAGTTAGGTGACTCCATTATCCAATCTTCAATGGAGATGTGACCTCATTGGAATAGAAGGATTATCAGTAAATAACTTTTTAAATCTCACATTTATAAATTGTTTAAAATTTCCCCTATTGTGTTCCACAGAAGAAAGAATATCATAAGGCCAATTCACACTGCACCGACAGACCTACAGCCACAGTCACCAGATTACAATGTCACTTTTCAGACATTCCAAGACATTCCAAATTCTGATTCTACACTTTCAATTGGCGAAAACAAGCGCCAACCAATGCTAATAGATGCCAAAATGGGTAACAAACTGATCTGGCAAAATCCGACGAACGTGTCTGTTGCTGTCTGTCTGTGCAGTGCGAATTGACCTAAACAGGTTTGGAACAGCATAAGGGCTTTTCATTTTTGAAGGGACAAATCCCTAGTCATAAGTCAAATGTTTTTTTTTGGTAATTTAGCGTGATTCATTTTGTGTGTATTTTACTTACTGAAAGACTGGTTAAACACTAAGGTAGAAGTGTGTTTGTGTGTTGCAGTATGAGCAGAGAGGAGTCATCTGCAGGGATGCAGTGAATGACTGTGATGTGCCAGAGACATGCACTGGCGATTCGAGTAAAGTAATGATACATTTATAATTTATCATACATTCATTAAGTAAATCATAATTTAAATAATTATTATCATAATAATAATGTAAGAAATTTACACATGCTTCTCATTAATTTCTCAAACAGTGTCCACATAATGTCCACAAACTGGATGGTTACATGTGCAATTCTGGACTGGTAAAATAATTTCTGTTTTTCTGTCTAAAACGAACCTTACATGTTTCTTGCAACAATAGTACTAAGCATTGTTACTGTATTTTGTTTGCATGATTTACTGTATAACACTGGCAGACTTATCTTGTTAATTAAACTTTTACCATGAACTATGATTTAAATTCAAATGTTTCAGTGATTAAAGGGGCACTCAGTAATTTTGGTTTGTTGTGCTGGCTGATTTGGCAGTTGACTTGGACTTTTAGTTAACTTATAGTTAATCAGTGTAAGGATGCAAAAGTGTTCACTGTGTCCCCACAACATCGTCAAAGTGGTCAGAAACACCAACTGAATATCATATCATTCTGTTGAGAAACTTCTTTTCTATCATTAGAAACTGCAAACAAACCTTAATATTAATACATACGAGCGAAAAGAGTTATTAATCATAATAAGCCACAAAAAAGGTCGCAATGCATTACTCACCAAGCAGGCACAGAAAGACGTGACTCTCAGACAGCGTGTGACCCCGGATCTGGAATTAACAGTTAGATACACACAGAAATACAGTATTTCAAAATATCTGTCTTACTCCAAATGTAGACCAAACACATGAATGAGATTATCTACTTAAATGTTATATATTAATTTATAGACTAATGGCATTTTCTACTTTTATTTCATTTGACTAATAATGTTATACAAATCATTTCAGTGAATTGACTTGGTAATTGTTGCTACAGTCAAGCTCTTGTGGTTCCCCCATTCGTTTCAATGTTTTTGGACATGCACATAATCAGAAGGCAGCGGCTATTTGCTCTAAGTGTAAATAGCGATAGATGATATTTACACTAAGTGCAAATAGAAATAAATGCTATTTACACTTTGTAAATAGTGATAGATGCTATTTACACGACAGCGTGTGACCCCGGATCTGGAATTAACAGTTAGATACACACAGAAATACAGTATTTCAAAATATCTGTCTTACTCCAAATGTAGACCAAACACATGAATGAGATTATCTACTTAAATGTTATATATTAATTTATAGACTAATGGCATTTTCTACTTTTATTTCATTTGACTAATAATGTTATACAAATCATTTCAGTGAATTGACTTGGTAATTGTTGCTACAGTCAAGCTCTTGTGGTTCCCCCATTCGTTTCAATGTTTTTGGACATGCACATAATCAGAAGGCAGCGGCTATTTGCTCTAAGTGTAAATAGCGATAGATGATATTTACACTAAGTGCAAATAGAAATAAATGCTATTTACTATATGCTATAGAAATATGCTATAGAAATATATGCTATTTAAATGCTATTTAAGTGCAAACAGCGATGGATTCTATTTACACTGTGAAAATAGTATTTTTCAACGGTATGATATTTACACTAAGTGCAAATAGATTCTATTTACACTGTTAAAATAGCAAGATTTTCTGCTATTTATACTACTTATAGCAAATAGTTGCAATTATCTGCACCCCAGTATTGTAGTACATTATAAAACAGTACGCAATAATAAAGCATTGAGTGTAAATTATCATTTTAATTCAAATTATTAAATGGATGCCACCTTATTGGGACAATAAAGCCCTCCCTGCACCAACCCTAACCCTACCCGATACTTTATTTTCAACCTTTTGATTATTTATTTAATTTTTATTGAAAATAAATGCCTTTCCAATGCGATATGAGATTTGAAAAGGGAGAAAAAAAGTTTGACAAAAGGCGGGTTCGAACTCGGGTCGATCGCATCAAAAGGCACATGCCTAACCATCTACGGCCACTGAAAGTGATGTTTATTGAGCGTCTTTTTTCAGTGTTGACTTTCCCAATCACACATTGGTGGGCGGAGTTATTGTAAATCGCTTCTGCCAACAAGCAGAATTATCTATATTTACTATTATCTATAATAAATAGACCTGTTTTACAAAACTTTAAGAATTTTCCCATAATTGTGTCATATATCACTGAGAATCTCAGCTTTAATGTGGTATATGGTACATAGTCAGCATAATTATGGTTCAAATGTGTTGCAGTTTTAAATATAAGCTTTTCTTTACATTGGAATTTCACAAAAACATGATTTCTGAGTCATTTTTTGACATGGTCTACCTCAGTCAATATTAAAGATATCAAGTTTATATTTTCACAGAATGTTTTTTACATTATGTAGGATGATTTTATGTAGAAAACAGTAAATAACAAAAAAATGACTTAAGCTGTTTTTTTACAGAGTGGGTCACGTGATTTTTAAAGGTATCTTTCAAAAGTATTAACTGTTAAGGTTTTTCAGTGGGGACAAATTACTGTGTGCAACTTTAATTCTTTTTACGTGACTGTAGTCACAAAGGATATCAGCCATTAGTAAGCATCTTTGCTCCGTTTAATTTTTTTAAGTCTGGCTGAGTGAGTGTTTATATGGAAAGCTGATGTACTCTCTACTGGCTCTCTCAGGGGCGCTGCTATGGGGCCCGCTGTAAAACCAGGGATGCCCAGTGTCAGGCGCTCTGGGGCCACAGTGAGTAGCGTCTCTTATATTGTCCAGTATATATTGGAATATTATTGGTAATGAATATTAATTATGGATGTTGACATTATGACTGATACCAGTAGCTGATCATTATTTTAGTCAACATAAATCTATGCTATTTGATTTTTTCTTGTTAAATCTCCAGTCTTACATTTGACATGATTCATCACCTGCTGCCTACTTATACTCACGCTGTGATCAGCAGCAGCTGGATGCAATAATCGCATGCCAATGTGCATTGGCTCGTTTAGTTTACACTCGAAGTAGATTGGTCCCTCTAAGCGATATCCCCAATTTCGTCGGTCCTCCGACGTGACGTCTCCGTTCCCTCCTTCAGGGAACGAGGGTTACATACGTAACCGAGACGTTATTTCGCATAACATTTCTTTCTGCAACTTTCTGGTGTACTTCAGCACAACTAGAGTGTTAGTGAGAGATTAATGATGACACATGTAATATGCCTGCAGCACTCAGCTGATTTGAAGATTTGAGGTGGTTGTAGAAAAGAGTGATGATAGAGGCACAGATGAGGAGCAGCAACTGGACTGTGCTAATATTCATAACCTGCATCAGACAGGATATTAGCAGAGCTGTCTGAATTTGTCTGATGACCGTCTTTAGGTTACTCGCTCTTATTCAGATATTTGTCTGTGTGGCATCATATGACAGCAGTGATTACTTTTTAAATTAGGCCAATTAATAATTAAAAAAAATAATATTTAATGTTTTAAAAATGTCTGCTGATAACCCATAATATAGGCAACCATACAATTAACATTAACCTAGATGATTTAATGCTGTAAAAGCATTGTTCTTTGTTAGTCCCTAGTTGTTAGTTAGTATCCAAGGTCATTTTAAAAGAAATATGTTTTTAAAACATAAATCTGCAGGATAACCTTTTCGTAACTCTCGTAACACATACTCTCTAGAACTACAATACCCATCACACTCACCAACATCTCCAGAAGCTTTAGTGACTTTTACTACTGATTTCACTCAACATGGCAAAGGAGAATTTCAGTTATATTTATCAGGGAAAGTGTCACATGAAAGTAACATGTTACACCCAGTATTTTAAAAAGTGTATCAATTAATTTAACAAATTTGGTAAATGAACGATTATGGTTATTTTCTATCAAATCAAATTATCTGTAAATAATTATGAAATATGTCTCTGAGACAGTAAACCCACAACCAACCTAATATACATTGTCACATTTTTTTTTTTTTTACAGTGAATTTCTTGCAACCACAACCACAGCTGGCAGTTTTACTGTACATTTACTGGGGTATTTTTTTCCCAGTGTATAGTATGGTTTAATAAATTGAAAAACAACCAAATTATAACAATGACAGAAAGATCCACAAAGCATCAACTTCATATTTAATTCCACAGTTCTTTTTTTTATGTAATTTATATAGAAAAAATAGAAAGTTCACAAATTATTTTCAAGACAGAAAAAATGTTGTGTTTCAGCCACATTCATGGCAATCATTAGTGAATACATACAGTATAGAATCACTACAAGTGTATGTACATATATCTCTTGTTTGATTCTAACACTAAAATTGCACATGCACAATGCTCAGTTTATTTGACTGTGCATGTTGTTAGATGCAGCAGATCGCATGTGTTATGAGAAGCTGAACATTGAGGGTACAGAGCGTGGCAGCTGCGGTCAGGACAACTCACACAGCTGGATTCAGTGCAATAAACAGTGAGTATATGAACAACCAGAACACCGTTTTAACCTGTTCAGTGATATCATTATTTGTCCCTTTGTTCTTTTATTTCTTCTTTGTCTGTCTTCCACTGTTATTTCTGTGTCCTTTCACAGGGATGTGTTGTGCGGATTTTTATTATGCACTAACATCACAGTGAAACCACGGTATGGAGACTTAAATGGAGAAATCACTAGTCTCACCATCTATCATCAGAACAAGTACCTGGACTGTCGGTAAATGCATATGCATTTTATTCTTCAGTATAATTTATTTATTTTAAGCATGTTCAGATATTTTTTTACTGGAAAACATGATGCTGGATAAGATTAATTTAGGGCTTTAACTGCTGCATTTGGTCTCTTCTTTTACAGCATCTCACACCATGAGTGGCAGTTTTTTAAGACATAGTCAAATTAAAAATATTTTAATCATGACAACTCTCGGAAGATTTTAGCATGGTGATGGATATGACAATGTTAATGTAGGGTGACCATACGTGCCATTTTCCCAGGAAATGGCAATATAGAAATCCTGGCCAGGACGCGTCCTGGGAAAATGGCATGTATGGTCACCCTAGTTAATGTATTTGGTCTTGGCGGAATAGATCTGCTACACTGCTGCTGCTGCTGAATTGCTGCTACTGTTGGTTATTGCTGTAGTTGTAGATTATTGCTGCTGCTGCAAGCAAGTACAGGAACTTGCTACCTCCAATGCATACGGCGATACAGTGCCGTGAGTATTTAAGACATACTGCTGCTGCACAAATAGCATATAAAATAACCCGTAGCAGATCTATACAGGTGGAGCTGGGGAAGGTGGAGGGTTTCAGAGAAACTCTGAAAAGCGCACTGCAGGAATCTCTAGTGAATGCTAGCCAGCCATATAAATGCAAGGCAGTAAGCTCATTGGCTGCATATGCAGCATGAACCAATCAGCTTGTGCCAAGTCGTTTAACTCTCTGAATATCATCAGTTACGTTAACAACCATCAGCCTGCACCATCTAGAGTTTCATGACTAAACTATAAATTTCTTTTAGTTTAAGAAAATAACCACATCTCATGAGAAAATGCAACTAGTTTACAAGGTGGTGATTTCGTATGAATTGGTATAATATGATTCATATGGAAACATGGGATTTCCAACTGAAAACATACAGATGAGACTGTAAAAATTCATACAAAAATAGTTACGAATTGCCTCAAAAAAAACGTGCTTTGCAGTGTGCATTTGTGTGTAGCACTGAACTGTTGTTTGTGTATGTTAAGTGGGGGTCATGCAGTGTTAGAAGACTTGGCTGCATATGCAGCATGAACCAATCAGCTTGTGCCAAGTCGTTTAACTCTCTGAATATCATCAGTTACGTTAACAACCATCAGCCTGCACCATCTAGAGTTTCATGACTAAACTATAAATTTCTTTTAGTTTAAGAAAATAACCACATCTCATGAGAAAATGCAACTAGTTTACAAGGTGGTGATTTCGTATGAATTGGTATAATATGATTCATATGGAAACATGGGATTTCCAACTGAAAACATACAGATGAGACTGTAAAAATTCATACAAAAATAGTTACGAATTGCCTCAAAAAAACGTGCTTTGCAGTGTGCATTTGTGTATAGCACTGAACTGTTGTTTGTGTATGTTAAGTGGGGGTCATGCAGTGTTAGAAGATGGCACTGATCTCGGGTACGTGGAGGACGGCACACCGTGTGGTCCTAATATGATGTGCCTAGACCATCGCTGTCTGCCAGTCACCACCTTCAACCTGTCATCCTGTCCCGGGTCGTCCTCTTCTCACGTGTGTTCCGATCATGGGGTGAGCAGTTCATCTTTCACAAATCTAACATCACAGTCACATACTGTCTGTTTTGGGGTTGACTGCGTTTGTCACATAGCATAGGCTGGTACATTTGTCAAAAGTGCATTTGACTCATTCTCAGAGGAATAGTTTAGTCACTCTCTTATTTTTCTAAACCTGTCAGAATTTCATTGATCTTTGAATCACAAATAATGATATGTTTAATATTTTCTCATCCTTTTTTTTCCATTATTGGTTTTATTCAAAGTGAGAAAATGAAGATACAATTGGTTGTCTTAAGTGAAAAATAGCCAGCTGTCAAAGTGTCTGATTTGAGTTTAACATTTTCCAAATTTAATAAGCAATCATTTAAGCGACAGTATTGACTCTGTTCACCATGTGACATAGATTAATATAATTACTTCTTACGTCCGTATTTCTCAGTAAAACTTTGACTGTCCAGATAGTTTTGCTATACTGTAGTATGTGAGCCAAAGTATTTATTTCCAGCTTTAGGCTTATCTAGACATTCTCTGCCTCTCTCTGTCTCAGACATGCAGTAATGAGGTGAAGTGTATCTGTGACGCAGACTACACTGGGAAGGACTGCAGCGTGTATGACCCCATTCCAGACCCCCAGCCTCCAGACGGTCCTGAGAAATACAAAGGTTCACAACACATTTAGTCACACGGGTGTTCAAGCTTTAGTTGGTCCAGCATCTCTTTGCTTGTGTTTGGAATGGAATACTTCAATGGCAATGTTAAGAGCTCCATGTGTCTGTTTAATACAAAGAGAACATACAGTGCTCTGAAAGGGGGTACATTTTAATTAAAATGAGATATATATGGTGGTACACATGTGTAAATACATTGTATACATACTGACATTGTTCATAAAAATGGGCCTTTTCCGCATTCCTTCAATCAAAGGGCCCAGCTGTCATAAATCTGAAATAAGCTGTCACCTCTGAAATAAATACCAACACGGAGAGAATATGCAAACTCCACACAGAATGCCCCAGGTCTAGAGCTCAAATCTGGGACGCCACTGAACCACCTAGCCGTTACCGTGGTTATCTTAATAAAAAAAAAGGAAATTGTAATAAAACATAACATAAAAACATAAAACATATGCACTACACATTTTGAAACAACAAAACAGCCTCCATAAAAGTGGACCTTTATTATAATTTCCTAATATAAAATATTCGGTAACACTTTACAATAATTAGTCTGATTAGTTAACATTAGTTAATGCATTGACTAACATGACCTAATAGTGAGCAACATATTTTAGAGCATTTATTAACCTTTTTAATGTTAGTTAATAAAGATGTTAATGTTCATGCTCACAGTGCATTAATGTTTTTGATTTGGACAACTTTGGATTTTAAAAATGTGTTAGTAGATGCTGAGATTAACATGAACTAAGATTAAGAAATGCTGTGGAAGCATTGTTCATTGTTAGTTCATGTTAACTATTGTAGTTAACATGCAGTAGTTAACAAATAAAACCTTGTTATACAGATTACCAAATGTATAATGTAAGTATAACAACATTTAATACATATAAAATAAATACAAGATCTTGTGTTTCTGCTGAAACACAAATTTTCTACAGTGTTAACTTCTATAGGAGTGCTGCTGTGTGGATTGAAAAGCTTGTAATTATTGTTGTGTGATTTTCTCCAACTGTGTTTTACCTAAAAATGACAATTTACTTGGTTGAGGCTGTTTAATCAGTTTTTAGCTAGCTTCAGCATTGAGCTTTTACGGTTCCCATATAACAGTGTATATAACATGCATGGAAATCAAATGGGTCAAGCGGATTATCAATGGGTTTGCAACTGGCGTTTTGCCACATTTTTGGAGTATTTGACTTCTGGTGTTTCCCATGCTCATGTGGAAACCTTTTATTTATTTATAAGGGTGCCATGAAAAAATGACTATAATGGAGTCCCGTGGTTTCAAAATGTTTGACAAGCACTGACTTATAAACATATGCAAAATCATCAGTCATTTCTAAGATTCTGATAGGTTAGAAGCTCAAATAATTATAAAATATCCAGATGTTGCCTTTGAAGCGCAGGCTCTTCATTTGTAAGTTTCAAACCAAATGTTACCACAAGATGTGACTGCCTCCTCCTCCAGAGAGCACTAGCCCACTGTTTGTGAAATAAAGCTAAAACCAATTAATTAAATGAAAGGAAACAGGAAGAAAGGAAACCAGACTAGACTAAAAACTAAACTTCAAAATAAAAGCACATGACGAAATAGAAGTCACGATTAATAATATATAGCAGGAATGTAACTGAAATACAATGACAAATGCATGTTTTTTTTCTGTCTGTCCACAGGTCCGAGTGGTACAAACATCATCATTGGCTCCATAGCGGGAGCGATACTGCTGGCAGCTATAGTACTGGGAGGAACAGGCTGGGGTTTCAAGTAAGACATCCACAATTACTGCAATAAAATCTAATCAAGTAGCTTTCAGCTTCTTATTTCAGTTGTAAAAGAGCACAAAAGTGACTTCCTGCTTTATCCCATTTTTTTTCTATAAGGGATTCTAAAAGGGTTTTTTTTTCTTAAAAAAAAATCTTCTGAAACATGAGATTAGAAAGCAAACAAATTAAGCTTGACCAGGGATTATCACATTTTAAAGGGGTCATATAATGCGATTTAAAACTTTCCTTTCTCTTTGGAGTGTTACAAGCTATTGGTGCATAAATAAGATCTATAAAGTTGCAAAGACTAAAGTCTCAAATCCAAAGAAATATTCTTTATAAAAGTTAAGAGTTAACCACGCCTATCTAAAATGGCTCGTTCTAACACGCCCCCACATATCTACGTCAATATGTGGGAAGATTTGCATAACGCCACCCAAATGTTCACGCAAAGAAAGAAGGCGTAACTTTTATTCTCGCTGTAGTATTGTTGTTGCCACCGCCGCCATGTCGTGAAGGCGCTGTGTGTTTCATTGTGAAAGCGAAACTACTTTGGTTGGCCTTCCAAAAGAGGACGATATCCTAAAAACATCATGCCTAGAGCTGATCCGTGCTGGTCGCTGAGGAAATACATCAACTTCGCGCTGTCAATCGCCGGATCGGCTTTCACCGTGGACGAAGCGGAAAGCGAAACTACTTTGTTTGACGTTCCAAAAGAGGACACGACTAGAAATCAGTGGTTAAGTTGTATTTACAACACTGTTCCAGAACAGTTTAACCCAAATATTCAGATGTGTGCAGCGCATTTTATGGAGGACTGTTTCCTGATCCTGGGAGAGTAGACTACAATGCCGGCTGTTCTGACTCACAGACTGTAAGTACGTTTTTTATATTTAAAGAATTTGGCCAATGACGATTCAAACGCGAGTTTTTTGAGCAGTGTAGAGTAGCGCTTGTTGTTTGTCATTTCTCCGGTCACACATCTCACAAATGCAGACATGGTTTTATGTTACGCTCCGGCTGGACAGGGCATCACAGTATGGTGAGGGGCGTAACATTTCCGTCACACGCTTGAGGTATTCGACCAATCACAATGCACTGGATAGCTGGCCAATCAGAGCACACCTTGCTTTTCAGACCGATGAGCTTTGTAAAAATTGACGCGTTTCAGAAAGGCGGGGCAGAGAGGATAAACAATAATGTACAGTATGTGGAAAATAATGTGTTTTTTTAACCTTAAACTGCATAAACACCTTTCATTACACAAAATAATGTTCTTTTTAGCAGCATCATATGACCCCTTTAACATCTGCAACTCAATGCATTTCCTCCACCCTAAACGGTGTTGTTTAGTGCCAAGTGCAAGTAGCTATCTAAAAACTCTGATTAAAGACATGGTCAAGTACAGAAATACATAAAACACTGCTAACAATCTTAAAAACAAAACAGTGTTTATGTTTGTGGGTCCAATAGAAGTATATTGGAAAGTCCTGTTACAACCCTCTCCACCTGTGTGCTTATAATGTTAGTATTTTACATCAGAACAGTCATAATTTAGAAATAATTACCAATTGTATACCCTGTACCCTGAAAAATAATACATGGTTAGTTTTACTCAAGCACATTTTTTTCAGATAGTTTGTTTCAATGTACTGATTCAAAATAAAAGTGTCACCAGTTTTTTTGCATCATCACACAATAATATCACTAATATATGTAATGATATTATCCCGACAAATTAAAGCTTGAAGGTAAACACATTCAAATAGTGTAAGCACATATATTTGATTTACATTTTATTCATTTAAATATGAATATTTTATTAATTTCAAACTTTATATGAGTCTGGACATGAAATACTAATAAATTATAAATGACCTGGGACCAATTATTGTTGCTTTATTAGCATATGGCTTTAAAGAATTTTTTTCTGTGATTGCTTTGCCCTATCATTTATAGGCTGCAGTAAATAATGTCTTGATCTTATTTTTATGGGAAATGCATCACAGTTTCTAATTTAATCTCATTTATTCTCTCTCTGTTTCTTGAATACAGAAATATCAGAAGAGGAAGGTATGACCTTGCCCAACAAGACATGATGTGATGTCACACTCCCATGTCCACCTAGCACATATCGCACCAGCTGTTTTCACATCTTTGCCTGCCTATTTAGTTTCTCTGAGTTTTATTTTATTATAATTTTTTTTTGGAATGTTTGCAACACCTTAATTACAGATTCATATCAATGCATCAATCGATACACATCACATTTGTTCCCAAACTCCATTACATAGTTATAATGCACAATTCACTGGATTACAATACAATAACATTGGCATGTTTGGCTGAGGTATGGACATTTGTTTGTTGTTAGTAACATTATATTAGAAAAATATATTTGCATGAAAAGACCAGTTTATTTGGTATTTATCATAATGCTGTTATTTTGTCAAACACTGTTAATATGCACTAATCGAGTATGATTTTATATCAAATATCTTGTCATTGTCATTTCATGCATAATAAGGTTGATGAACATAAAGTGAGAAATCTGAGACCATTCCTCTATACAGAATCTCTTCAGATCTTAAATATTCAGAGGTTCATGCTTGTGGACTCTCTTCTTCAGCTCTTCCCACAGGTGTTTAGGTGGTTTAGGACAGGGAACTGCTGCGTCCATGGCAAAACCTTCATTCTGTGGGGAGTGACCCATGTGTGCTTTGGATCATTGTCTATAGATAGGGGCATTTCAACCATTAAACTATTTTCTCTTTAGCCATTCTCTGATTTGTGTCACAAATCATTACCGTATTCTCAAGTCTTCCCATTAGTGATGGCTGATGAAATTTTGCCTGTGTATGGCTTCATATTTAGAGTTCAGTGCAATTCATGACTTGCAATTAAAAAAAAATGTGTTTCTACAAAATGAATAACATATGAATGAATATACCTGAATTAGATTTTTATTCGTGAGAATTTCTTGAGGTATCAATAATTGTGATACACATTTTGGGAAATGTTAATTATTTATTTTCCGTTAAATTAAAAGCAAGATTTTTGTGAATTCACAGACAATGAAAAAAAAAAAGTTTTTGCCATTTCTTCTCAGCCAAACTCTGATTAAAGACATGGTCAAGTACAGAAATACATAAAACACTGCTAACAATCTTAAAAACAAAACAGTGTTTATGTTTGTGGGTCCAATAGAAGTATATTGGAAAGTCCTGTTACAACCCTCTCCACCTGTGTGCTTATAATGTTAGTATTTTACATCAGAACAGTCATAATTTAGAAATAATTACCAATTGTATACCCTGTACCCTGAAAAATAATACATGGTTAGTTTTACTCAAGCACATTTTTTGTACTGATTCAAAATAAAAGTGTCACCAGTTTTTTTGCATCATCACACAATAATATCACTAATATATGTAATGATATTATCCCGACAAATTAAAGCTTGAAGGTAAACACATTCAAATAGTGTAAGCACATATATTTGATTTACATTTTATTCATTTAAATATGAATATTTTATTAATTTCAAACTTTATATGAGTCTGGACATGAAATACTAATAAATTATAAATGACCTGGGACCAATTATTGTTGCTTTATTAGCATATGGCTTTAAAGAATTTTTTTCTGTGATTGCTTTGCCCTATCATTATAGGCTGCAGTAAATAATGTCTTGATCTTATTTTTATGGGAAATGCATCACAGTTTCTAATTTAATCTCATTTATTCTCTCTCTGTTTCTTGAATACAGAAATATCAGAAGAGGAAGGTATGACCTTGCCCAACAAGACATGATGTGATGTCACACTCCCATGTCCACCTAGCACATATCGCACCAGCTGTTTTCACATCTTTGCCTGCCTATTTAGTTTCTCTGAGTTTTATTTTATTATAATTTTTTTTTGGAATGTTTGCAACACCTTAATTACAGATTCATATCAATGCATCAATCGATACACATCACATTTGTTCCCAAACTCCATTACATAGTTATAATGCACAATTCACTGGATTACAATACAATAACATTGGCATGTTTGGCTGAGGTATGGACATTTGTTTGTTGTTAGTAACATTATATTAGAAAAATATATTTGCATGAAAAGACCAGTTTATTTGGTATTTATCATAATGCTGTTATTTTGTCAAACACTGTTAATATGCACTAATCGAGTATGATTTTATATCAAATATCTTGTCATTGTCATTTCATGCATAATAAGGTTGATGAACATAAAGTGAGAAATCTGAGACCATTCCTCTATACAGAATCTCTTCAGATCTTAAATATTCAGAGGTTCATGCTTGTGGACTCTCTTCTTCAGCTCTTCCCACAGGTGTTTAGGTGGTTTAGGACAGGGAACTGCTGCGTCCATGGCAAAACCTTCATTCTGTGGGGAGTGACCCATGTGTGCTTTGGATCATTGTCTATAGATAGGGGCATTTCAACCATTAAACTATTTTCTCTTTAGCCATTCTCTGATTTGTGTCACAAATCATTACCGTATTCTCAAGTCTTCCCATTAGTGATGGCTGATGAAATTTTGCCTGTGTATGGCTTCATATTTAGAGTTCAGTGCAATTCATGACTTGCAATTAAAACATGTGTTTCTACAAAATGAATAACATATGAATGAATATGCCTGAATTAGATTTTTATTCGTGAGAATTTCTTGAGGTATCAATAATTGTGATACACATTTTGGGAAATGTTAATTATTTATTTTCCGTTAAATTAAAAGCAAGATTTTTGTGAATTCACAGACAATGAAAAAAAAAAAGTTTTTGCCATTTCTTCTCAGCCTGTTTTGCTCATATTTACCGATATGAGTACAGAACACTGTTAGTGATGTCTACATCAACGTGTTAACTGTGCTATGCAATAATCTCAAACTATTTTTAGTAATTTTACCATCAGTTTTATAAAACACCAAGCTTTCTCTAATTTGACAGCTGCTTTTCATGCTTCATTTATGGTTGCTAAATAATACATTTGCATAATACATGTCATTATTTGAATGAATTTAAAATAATTTAATTAAAGTGGCAAGTCATTCCTTTTATGCAGTGCTTTTACTATTCCAGATCATATTGAACTAATAATTTAGAAAGAAAGATTTTTATCAAGAAACATGTTGAAACATTTTTCTTTCTTTAATAAAAACCTTTTATTGTGAATGTCGTTTTAATTTGTAATACTTTGAATAATGTGTTTTTTCCAGTGTCCTCAGCTTTACTTTCTATCCTGTTAGAAGTATTATAAAATCCTTTTACAAAACTACTAAAATAAAACTGGTGAAAATATGATATCAAAAGTTCAAAAGATGGATAACATTTTTTAAATTACAACACTGTCTATTCATACATTTTTTAACTGCAGAATAGGAATGACCCCTGCTATTTCAATCACATAATTGCTTCAGTTAATTCATCTACTCGTATGGCCTTCGTTTTGCAGGCAAATAAAGAATACAAACAATGCACAGTGAGTTGTATTATTTAACATATTGATTCTCCTCCTTTATTTTCCCTCTTTTCTGTGTCTATTCTTCAGATCTGGAGGGGGATAAAGCATGCCATCTGCTCTCCTGTGCTTCTGCACTGTGCTCTTAAACTTTGAGGGAAGCAGAAGAAACTACAGATGTCTTCCACTCTCTCAACAAACTCCAGTGTCACTCTGTTCTGTCTTTCCGACTTCCTGTTACTGCCTGTCACCTATTGCCTAGAACTCCAGAACTAGTACTCCAGTACATCCCATGGTAACATTTTTAAACTGATTTTGATTTTTACTGATGTTGGCTATTTGTGGGGTTTGGCCCTTTAAACCCAGCACAGAAACTGAAAAAAGTCATAATTTCCTCAACCTCATGTCGTTTCGAACCCGTATGACTTTCTTTATTTCGTGAAGCACAAAAAGAGATGTTGAGCAGAAAGTTCACATTGTTGAGTTGCGAAACAGAACCAAAAAGCACCATGAAGATAGTATTGTGTGCTAAATGAGTATTGCGCCTTGACATGTTTCACTTTTAGATAAATCAAGTCAGAATTTTCAGTTCCTTTTTTATTATTATTATTAATAATTTTAATTTACTAGTTGTGGTCCTATTTAGAGAGCTACCACATAAATCAAAACAGTCACTATTTGCATGACCATTTTAACCTTTTTTATGCTAAAGTATAATAATTTTAGCATTGAGAAGCCTAGACTTTTTAAGTACCCTCTGTTTCATGTGGATAGACAGATTTGAGGAAACAATGTATTCTCTTGCAATGGAATGTCTGCAAGCATTCCAAGTTTACCCTCATTCTAGTCTAATATCTATAATCATGCTGCTTTTACTGTCATCTATAATAGTAAAAAAAAAAAACATGCAAAATCCCATGAATGTACTTTTACATAACAAAAAATAAGGCATTGCTTGTATAGGTCTAATGTAGTTATACGTTTCATAAGCACATTGCTGAGTGAGGCAAGGTAATTTTAGTAAAATATGTATTATATATTATTTGTAAATCTTAAGCATAAGTGGAACACCGTTTGAATGCGCTGAGCTGAGGATAAATATGTATATATATATATATATATAATATATATGACAGCACTATTTTGCCCTTTGACTGTAGAAATAACACAGTCAGATATAAGCACAAATACATTTTTGGGGTTAAGAATTCAAACAAAGTTGTATTGACACTGATGTATACAGTCGACAGTAATGGGTAAAACCACATACAAAAACCACAATACTCAAAGTCATATTTCCGCATTTTTATGTTACAATAACCTTGTCCACTATTTAGTATAAAGGTGCACTAAGTGACTTTTTTTTCTTTATGATTCTGCTGGCTGATGTCACAGTGCTATTGGGCTTTATACTGACACACATCAGTGTGGATCAAGGTTTTATCATTTGAAATGATTTTACTTTATTATTTTAATAAAAACAATTGCATTTACATTTAATTTGATTTAGTTTTGATAGGTATTGATATTGATATTTTCATTGATATCGGTAGGTTTGTTTTTCTATTTTATGGGCATACAGTATTTAAGTTTCAAACATTTTTAAATTAGATTTATATTCAGAAATAAGGAAGGGATTTGACGTTTGAGGGGGAAAAATATATTTACTGGGAAATTTCTGGTATTCTGTGCTTTTGGACATTATAAAATGATCAAATCA